CTACATCTGGTCTCCCTGGCAGTACTGTTGGAGCAGACAAGAGAATTTGGCAGGATCTGGTGCGTGTGTCAGGATGAGGCTTCCCCATTGCCTATGTTTGCTCTCTGGCCTTCTTCCCTCTGAACAAGGCCAACCACTTTAAAAGCGGCACAGCTTGGGAAGCCATGGCCTGGCAGCTGTCTATCGAGCAGCCTTACTTCAGTCCAGCGAGGGAAACAAGGGCATCAGGCTATGGGTTACTGAGCAAGTGGGTCAGCGGGGCAGCAGCATGCAGAGGATTGTCAGCTACTGAATGACACACACACTTGCGAAGTTAGAATCTAAACTATTCTGGATGTTATAAACACGAGCCACATTGACATAATCATCGGATTCCCTACGGATACTCAATGATCTGCAGTTCAATCAGTTTTGCATTTGTTAGGGAGTTGTATGGTGGAAAGAAGACTTGAGTTCTAGCTTCAGCTCTGCACTAATTTGCTGTGCAAGCTCAGGAAAGTCACTTTCCTCTCTGAGTCTCAAGATATCCCTCTAACTTAAAATTCAGAAGGAGCATAAAGTCCATGTTCTTTTACCCTTGAATTGCTTTTCCCCTTTCAGACCCTTTCCCCTTCAGACAGAAGGAGCGAGTTATCCTAAGTCCTGCCCATACTAGTGATCTCTCAATAATCTCTGAAAAGCAAAGCTAGCCAGTAAGGCAGGCCATAAAGTGCATTCCTTTTACAAACAAGGAAATTGAGGGCCAGAATGACTTGATGAAAGTAAGAGATCTCCTTATTTCTGGCTTAATATTCTTTCCACGGCACAATACATCACTACCTTGATTCAAAGTGTGTTTTTGTTCCAGATAACTCAATTAGGTAACTCTCTCAGAGTTGCAGCTGTTGCCTAGAAGGAAATGAGTAAATATGGAAGCTCTTCTCACTCCTGTAAATTAAGGTGCCTTGCACTGTATCATGGTAACATGAGCCTGGACAATGACTTTTATCCAGTAATACCCCCTGAACCCTTTTGTGGCAGATAAAGCAAATATTCTCAAACATTGGTGCACACGAGAATCTTCAGAGAATCTGCTACAGTGCTGATGGGCTCCAGCCCCAGAGTGTTTCTGAAGGCTTACTTATAAGGTCTAGAATTGTCTTAGGGAAAACAATTGAAGCAAAGAGTGTCCTCACTGCTGGTGAGGAGCCCAACATAGAAGTAACTAAAAGTTAGTCACACTCTTTGCCATCTGCCTTTGCTGGTCTAGTACTGAGAAACCTGAAAGAACTATACCAGTGGTAGATAGAAGCCATACCCTTAGCATGGCTTAGCTCAAATGAACCAACTATCTCATACTGTTTTACCACTTTATTACTTTATCCTTTTTAATCTAGTGGAGCAATTTTATCAACCTGACATAAAATTAATATTGTAAGAACTCAGAGCCCATTGGAAAGCAAAAATTAACACATTTTGAGAATTCACCTTTGACTGGGATAAGAATATTAGACACTTTACATTATTTGGGAAGCTCAAAACCATTGAAAATCCCTTAAAGATATGCAGGCAGTCTATGTTATGAACAAGCAGTAATACTGAAAAAAAAAAGAAAAAAGAAAAAACACTGCAACTTTCTTTAAAGGTACCATAAAATTAACTTCTCAGTATTTGAGGAAGTACTTATATAATGTGAATTTGTTAAAAAGGTGAATATAACTCAAGAAAAAATTATGCTAAGAATATAGTACATAATTTTAAATATATTCACAAATCAAAGAATAGCCCATCTGTGTTTAATCCTACACCTTCAATTTGAGTTCAGAATATGATTCTGGAATAGCTAATTTACATCGAAAATACGGAAGCATATTATTGACCAAAGCATTTTGATTTCTTGATTTTCTGCTATCCATGGAAATTTAACACATATTTTCAACAGTATAAAAACTAAAACATTCAACTTAAAGCCCTTAGTATAGCTATTTAGTCTGCATCCCCTTACTACTCTTCTCCACATTTGTTAATGTGGAGAAGAGCCCCACACTCAACTTTGCCAAATTCCTTACTCCGCACTGGGCAAGAGAAAATTTATTACTGGTGCGATGCATCAAACAGCATGGAAAAGGAAAAGGAAAAGGAAAAGGAAAAGGAAAAGGAAAAGGAAAAGGGAAAGGAAAGGAAAGGAAAAGAAAAGGAAAGGAAAGAGGAAAGGAAAGAGGAAAGGAAAGAGGAAAGGAAAGAGGAAAGGAAAGAGGAAAGGAAAGAGGAAAGGAAAGAGGAAAGGAAAGAGGAAAGGAAAGAGGAAAGGAAAGAGGAAAGGAAAGAGGAAAGGAAAGAGGAAAGGAAAGAGGAAAGGAAAGGAAAGGAAAGGAAAGGAAAGGAAAGGAAAGAAAGATACGTGTCTTGTTGCGTTCATCTCCTGTTTTTATGTCTTCTGCTGAAATCTTTAAGATCTGAGTGGGAGCTTACACCTTTACCGCTCACTGGGACCTGATCTCAGATGAAGTCCATATCACTACTGAGACGTTTGTTCAGAAAGCCTGGCCACAAACATAGGAATGGGAAACTTGGATACTGATTCAAACGGTCCATCTAATGAGAGCACCCCATGGGGTTATAGAAAATGAATATGTAGATTGAACTATTGTTCTCATTTCTTCATGCCCTTTCTCAATTGGAATTATATACCCATACCTTTTGTCATGTAACTTAGCAGGGTCTTGCACCAGTGTAGGCAGAGTCTATTTCTCTAGACCGTTGATGTTGGATATGGCCATGTTGCTTTTTTTAGTCAATGGAATGCAGATGACAGGTTAATAGGGGGACTATTTTGAGCCCAGATGTTAAAAACGAAGACTATTCTGCTGGCCTCCCTTGGAACTCTGTATATCACCATGGGGGCTGGGGTGTGGGGGTGGGGGTGGTGAGAAACATACCCTGGGTAGCTGCTGGTCTTGGAATGATGACGACCCATGAAGTGTACCTGAAGCAACTGAAGCCTGAATCCACAGCAGCTCAGGAGAGCCTGGTCAGTCCCAACTCAGCGCAGCCAAATCACAGCCAACCTAAAGACTCAAAAGCAAAGCATCAATATCTGTGGTTATAAGCTATTTGTTTTTTTTCTGCCATGTGTCATTGCTGCAGCAATAGCTGACTGATACACTAGAGAGAGAAAACTGCCCAAAGAAATCTCAGACAGATATACAGATTTGATGTACAAAAATACATTTATTTTCAACAATTTCAAAACCACTGTCTTTTTTTTACAGTAGAAATATTCAAATGGAACAATAAAACCAAGAACAGTATATATACATATACTGTATATATAGATATGACTCATGCATTTGTATTCCATTGTTTAGTACAAGTATTGCAATTGTCTGCCCCATTTAACCCTTGAAACAAAAAAGCAGGATCTTTAGAAATACTCCTAATCTTGATCTATGCTGTAGCCAGCTAGATATCTGTAGATCATGTTCTCTCAGTGTCTCATAGAGAGAAATGTGAACAACATCCCACAAATATTAATAGGTAAAAATTCGGCCTTTTCTCCCATATATATATATACACAGTGTATCATTTTCTAAAACAGTGTGCACAGGCTGAGCCTGAAAATTAAAAACTGCTTACAGCATGGCTTAAAGGGAGCCTACTGAAAACAATTGGCATGTATAAATGTGTGAAGGGGCTGGGGTGCTAGAAAGGAGAATACTGGCATTGGGAGCCACTCACTCCAGAGGCAAGAACTATCTTAAGGGAACTGAAGGCAGACATTTGACTTTGAGAAGTTGGGTACATCTGACAAGCAAATAGCACAGCTTTGCTAAAATCGTCTTTGACTAACATCATTAAAGACTAGACCTCTATTTGGCCCATGAGGCTTGCATGGACTAATGATTCTACAAATGCCACTTCCCTCCCAACCTCAGGGACCCCTCCCATGCCAAGATCACTCACTGGGTTTAGCCTAGTGTTCAGAGGACTTTTCTCAGCTAAGAATAGCCCAAGAATTCCCCCATAAACATTATATATTTCTTTGGAATCCAACCAGAAAGCAGAATCATTGTCGTTTTCAGATCCATTGCCTGGCTTTGTTAGAGAAGGCCGTTTCCTCATGCTGATATCCTCTATTTCATCCTGTTGGAGGGGAACCCTTGTATCTCCATCTGGATCTCAGTTTGACGTCTCTGGTGGGTTTCATCTTGAAACTCCTTCCATGTCACTGATAGAACAATAAGACTCCATGTTCCACGATGTTCCTATAGTCCTTCTTTACCAATCATTCCAAAGAAGCTCCCCCGCCCCCCCTTATATACATAAGTAGAAACCAGCTATGGCATGGACACAGAGATGCAAGAGTTAATTGTGACAGACAACTGGAGAGCATCCAGAACCCAACACATCAACCAGGCCTGGGGTTGATCAGCTCTGAGGGTGAGTGCATAAGCCAACACACACGTCTTTCTTTTTTCTGTTTTCTTTTTTACTAAACATTAAATTATTTCTTAGGAAATAAAAAGCTATTTACATTGTAATTATATACAATAAGCCATCAGCAGCCTCGCTATTGACATGCACGAGGCAGGGCCTCCTTCATAAAGGTGTGCACGCTTTCTGCAGCTAGTTCAGGCCCCACTAACCCACCTCCTGTGGTTCTAACTGGGAAATGGTTTATGTTTTAGGTGTAGTGTGCTGGGGGAGGGGGTTGTTGGTGATTTGGGGGGATGGGAGGTTAATAAAAAGCCAACTCAACTTTAAAAATAAAAAGATAGAGAGGCCAAAAGGAAAAAGAGAGTCCTTGCACCATTAATGACAGAATAAAGCAAGAAGGCCTTAGGGAGATGCATACTTTGCCCACAGTGCAGATACAGCCATTTATCCTTTTTATCTCATTTTAATCAGCTAAGAATGCCTTTGCCTCCCAAAGCTAAGCATCTGCCTGCTATTTATGAAGGGGCCCTTGGTAAACAAAGGGTAAAAAAAGACATTTTCATTTTTTCCATAATAATAGTAATAGTAATCATCAAAAATAAAAAGTCGCAAAGATGGTTGACCGTGTGGCTTGTTGGTATTAAACACTAGTGCAGTTGGGGATCTCCTTTGTGCTTTCGCTGTTTGCAATGGTGGCAATGCCTCCTGCAGGGGAGAGAAGACAGAGGAGAGAAGGATGTAAATTTCATAAGGGCAGGAGTCTTTTGTTTTATTTCCTGCTAAATAAAAAGCCACCTCAAACAGGTGCTTAATATGTATTTATTTAATAGGGCACCAAGATAGTCTAGCCTATCAGCTCATTGGCTTATCTCATCTACATTTAAAGTTTGCCATCTCCCACACCAGCACACAAGGCAGGAGCAATACCTTGCCATCTTATACTCTACTAATAACTACAGTGATAGGCAATATGTACTGAACACTTACTATGTGGCAGGCACTGTCCTAATGACATAATATCATTCCATTGTCACAAAAGTCTCAGAAGGTAGGTACTATTATTCCTATGTCACAGATGAGGAATATGAGGCACAGAGAAGTTGCAGAGCTTGTAGACTGGCAGAGCAAGTAGACTGGCTGAACAATAAATGGGCCCAGGGTTATCAGATGCCAGAGCCCCCATTAGTTGATTATTAATGAAGACATATAATGATTTTTTTGTGGTTAATAACCATGTACTGATAATTTTTTTGTTTTTGTTTTTAATTGTTGTTCATGCTTTTGCTTTATATAAGAAATTGAAAGAAGTTCACCAGTGATGGATAACTGGCCTCATGCCTCCCCGACTCTGACTTCCACACTTACAATCTTGCTCTATTTTAAGGGAAAAAACTTTTGCCAATTTCATGTGGCCAGAGGTGGCAGGCAAATTTTCAAACATGATTATGTCACTGTAGCCAGTTCTAGTACTATCTAAAGAACAGGCCAGGTGTGTTGGCTGACCTGGTGTGCAGAGGACAGAGGACACAGGAGCTTGGTGGTACCATCACACATACCTATGACCCGGGTGTCCAACTCTTTGTCCAGCAGTTCCTCAGGCTCGGTGAAGTCACTGAGTGTGATTTTGGGGGCGTTTTCACTTTGGCTCACTGACCCAATCATCTCCTGCTCCTTGTCATGTTGAACTTGAGCATAGATGTTAATCCAGGGGATTTTCCTACATGGGCGGGAGCAAAATCAGATTATGATCACAGGGCATGTTGAACTGGGGCATTTGGAAACCCTGGGTGATAAGCAGAAGGGAGATGCTATTTACAATGCAGGCCAATGTCAGGAAAAGGGGACGGTCACTCAGACACTGGGGTCATCAAGCCCAGAAACACAGGGCCAGAGACCCAGAAGCCCAGAAATGTAAACCACAGAATTCCCTGAGGAATGCACTTTTTTTCTGGGGCAAAACCCAAGCAGGTATAGACAGAAAGGCAATGCTGTCTATCAGTATGCACTAAAACCCTTGTAATATTTATCTATTATTGAATATTTAAAGGAGCTGGACTTTGACACTCATAAGGTTGTATCATTGTGAAAAGACATTTTTTTCTAAGGTTACATCAATTTAATCAATTCACATTGGTTTCCTTTATGAATAGCCAAGACTTACAAGATGCATAGCCATTGCTAGTATTTTTCAGAGCACCATTCACGGGCCAAGTATCTTAAATACTTCCATAGTCCGTTTCCTCATCTGTTCAATAGGAATAACAATAACTTCCTTTTAGGATTGTAGGGAGGATTAAGGCAAATATTAAGAGAAGCTAAATAATTATTTTTCAGAGACATAAAGGTAGTGGGTTTGGAAACAAGGCAGACAGACTTGAGGTTGGTGGAGCAGCCAGGTTCAAGTTAAAAATCTCAAAGGACTCATCTCCTGACCCATCTCTACTACCTCCTGACCCACTGTGTCCCAGATTCCATAGCCTTCTTTGAATTCCTATAATCCAGCCCTTCTCAAACTATAAAGTGATTATACATCACCCAGGTTCTCATTAAATGCATTTATGACCCTATAGGTCTGGACAAGAGAGGGTGAAATTTTGCATTTCTGCCAAGCTCCTAGATGATGCTGATGCCGCTGGTCTGAGACCCTAACTTTGAGTTACAAAACTCCAATCATCAAATTAATCCCCATCCAGGGGACTTCAAAGCAATGGTTCCCTCTGTAACACACCGTCTTCTACTAGTCATCTGATGGTAGTGTCATTCAGAACTTGGCTTACATGTCATTTTCAAGAGGTCTCTCCTGACCACCCAACCTCTCCCCTTATAAATATGTAATGAGGTGGTGTCTATGAAAGAAATGAATAGAGTGTCTGTTTAGTGTGATGTAACAGGCAATGTTTGTTGACTTGTTTTCTGTCTTTCCAATTAGGCTAAAAGTCCAATGTATGTAAGACTATGTTTTACCTTCACTGATATATACTTAACTTAGCACAGTGCTTGGCACATGGTTTATATTCAGTAAGAATTTGTTGAATGAATTAATAGTGATCTCAAAGCCTGGGCTCCTTCTACTTTCTATTTTCATATTGTGTTCTCAAACAAAATAAACACATTTTTTTTCTTGGAATATTACATTTAGAAGAGATCTCCCTACCTCATTAAACAATGGGGGGATTGGACTGAAGTTCAGACATTCCATGAAGCTGATTCCTGGCATAGATGTTATTAAAACTTGAGACATCTCACACCCATCCCAATCTAGAACATTCTGTGCATTTCACTCTGTTGCCCTGGCACCAACCAGTAATATTTTCAGGCCTCCATACCCCCCACCCTCTAATCTCCATGGATATAAATTGTGAGGGCATTTAATTAGGTTTTCCTTAGCTAATTAATAAGGAAAGATTTTAAAAAATAGGTTTAAAACATGAATAGTTTCTACTTTTCCTTTACATTCCATTTTCATGCTTAATGGTTGCTTTCCATACATTAAGGGAGGTGCCCTTGTGACTCCTACTGGTCTGAACCAGTTTAATATAATTTATAAGAATTTTGAATGAACAGACTGTGAGAGGCAGCAAATCACAGGCTCTCTAAATGTGTCTAATTAAAAATTTATGCTGGCCCCTACTTCCTTATCTAAATAGAAATGCAGCCTAATGACTTATATTTCTTCTAATCATAAAAGTACATATTACTCATGAACATTGGGATCAACTGTAATATTTATTAGGTGCTGGGGGCAGTAAAAGCATTCCTGATCACGTAAGCCTGTATAACTTCAGAGCTGCAGCTCGAGTTCACTGTTCCCCCACCCTCGTGCCCCTTCCTGCCTCTACCTGTGAGGATTTGGATAAATTTACCCTTATAAAAATTATTCACTTTATTTCAGTCTCTAAAGACAGGCAGGTTTTTCCCAACATTTTAAATGGATGTTTGAAAGGGAATGAATTTTATGTTACAATTTTTAGCACTTAAAAATTTGTCAAATTACTTTTCATTTCTTAACACATCTACTTGCAGGACTGTTGAGAAGCTAAGTCAAGACTAAACACAAAGTTTGCAGATAAGAAATCTGGGAAGTAGAATTAGAGGCATGTCTTGGGCTATACATTCATATAGATTTAAATAAGAGCAGTAAGATGGATCAACCCAAGTCACCTATAAAAACTTTAGTTTGTATTTGTTTGTTCCAGCTATGATAAGCTCTTGAAGCCCATGGGAGGAAGTTTAGAGACAGTGAAGTAGGCTTCAGACTATGATGAAAGCCTTACTTAAAAAAAAATACTGAAAAAAGTTTTCTTAGATAACCAGGGAAAAAAAATGAACCTATAGAATAGAAAGAAGGCCTTATTAGGCAGAGTTTTCAGAAAATAAAAGGCATCTCATAATAATTTTTAATTATCTTGCCAAACATCAGTAACCGTAGTCACTATAGAAGAGCAAGATCAAATGTGAGAGACAGGGTATAATTTCCTTAAAGTAAACTTGGGGTTGTGGTATTTCCATTATCCTTCCCCTGTTAACTGAGGACTTGGGATACAGAGGTGGTTTTCAGTTTCTGGCACACACTAGAAACTCAATGAATATTTGCTGAATGAATGAATGGTTTAATGAGTCAATCCTGGTGATTAGAGAAATTTTGGATATGAAAACTCAGCATGGCTAGTGATCTGGAAACAAAAACAGATTGTCCTTTCCCTACACTGTGTTATCAAGCGTTTACTAGCCAGGTTTAGGTGTTTAAATTTAAATTAACTAAAGTTAAATAAAATTTAAAATTTAGTTCCTTGATCATATTAGTGACTACTGTGTCAGACAATACAGATTATGGAGCATTTTCATCATTGCAGAATATTCTTTTGGACAATAATAAAAGAAGCAAAAGAAACTCTAGAACTCAGGGGTAAGAATCTGACCCTTACTTGCCCGCAAGCCAGGCACACTCCACAGAGCCATCACTGGAGTTCCTTGTGATGAGGAGGAAAGGAGATCAAAGAAACAAAAGAAGATCCAACAAGGCCTCCACCAAAGGGCTTGAACAATGGGAGGAAAACTTCCAGAAAAAGTGGCTAGAAAAACAAAGGTAACTACTGATTGGTAACTCTTAGCTGACTCTGCAGTGTACATACAGTTTGCCTGGCATTCATTTCCTGTTGCCTTGGCTGCATGATTCACTGTCGGGGACATAGAAAGGGTTGCCTGCTATTTGGGGACCACATAGGTGGAATAATTCAGAGATGGCACTACCTGGCCCAGATCCAAATATTGAAGTGCACACATTTAGAAATTCCTACATTAATAAGTCGGCTTGTCTAGGGAGTTTAGCAGCATTTATAAGAGAACAGAAAACTCTGTAAGTCCCTGGGTAAGTCTTGCCTTTATTTGTTGACACCTGACACAAATACCATTTTGCCGCACTTCTGTTGACCCTTGTCCTCAGCAACCATGGAGTTCTAGGGGCCAGAAGAGTAAATTTGGAAGAGGTGATCTTCAAGCCCCAGCAACCACCAGGCTTTCCCATAATCATTTCCGTAGATGAACGAAAGTGTGCTTTGCTTGTAACTGAAGTGCATCCAAAAATGGGCACTGCCTTGACCAAACTGTTTCTAATTGAATCTTTGCTCTCCAATTGTAATATGAAAGGTTTTCCCCTCATTTTCAAAGAAGACATAGTAGGTGGGCTGATGTGTTTTGATCCAAGAGGAACTCATACTGCTCTACAAATTGAGTAGGAAGGTAAACCTCATTAGGTCATTCTGGTGCAGGGTGTTAAAGGATCCCTGCTGTTTTGGCTAATGTATAGGTGGATATTAAGTAAAACTGGTGTTTTGAAGCCTGTGATATCCCCTAGAGGAGAGCTAAAGGGAGCTGGGGAAGAGTAGACTGAAGCACCTTTACCACTGACCTCTTCCAAAACCTAAAAGCATTGTTCAGTACCTAGAAACACTCCCAGGACCAAGTAGGCTTTCAAAACTCATATGATGATAATTAATAATAGTCCTACAATAGTCCTACAGGCTTTTTATGAAGCACATATCTATGCCACTGATGTGATTTTTGTGGACCTACTATGTGCCAGTTTGTGACACAGAAGGCACCTTTGGAAGACATGTTTTTTTATTTATAATAATAACTTAGACTTGTTGATTATTTAGTATGTACCTGGTATAGATATTATTACATTTAAACCATATAGAAAACTTATAAAATATTGTTTTCCCTTTTTTACAGATGAGGAAACTAAAGTAGCTTAGAGAGCAAATTCAATTGCCCAATGTTACAAATGCTAAAAATAAAAATCAGTTCTGTCTTATTTCAGAGTTCATACTCTTCACTAGTCCACCTCTTGGTAGAAGTATTGCATTATTTAAAGAATGGTAAAGAATTATTTATTTCAATTTCCTGTTTTCAAATAAGTATCCTGTTATATTCCTCTTGTGGCCTTCAAAAATAATTTCTAAACATATATAGAGTTTGGTTTTCATGATCAATTTTCCTTTACAAACAGGGAAGGAGGGAAGGGGGTGAGGTTAATTTTTTTAGATTGTATTTATTTCTTTTTAGAGAGAGGGGAAGGGAGGGGGAGGGAGAGAAACATTGATGTGCCAGAGAAACATCAATTTGTTGCCTTTCATAAACTCACAACCAGGGACCTGGCCCACAACCCAGGCAATTGCCCTGCCTGGGAATCAAACTGGTAATCTTTTGGTTTCCCGTATGATGCCCATCCCTCTGAGCCATACCAGACAGGGCAAGGTTAAATATTTTTAGCATTCAAATTTAAATAGCTGCAGCACAAACTAAGAAAACGTGTGTGTGTGTGTGTGTGTGTGTGTGTGTTCGTAAATGTGCATACAAGATTTCAGCTGCATTTTCTCTACTTAACCACCCTGAATTCTTGCTAAGTTGCAGAAGAAGATACCCTGAATAATTGAGACCTTATTTTAGAAATTTAGGTGAGGTCTGAAATCTCCTTACATTTCTCTCGAAGATAATAAATTGATTTCATAGATTATCCCTCCTTACCCTAATTCAATGTCATTATAAATTGGATCGAGTTCAGATTCTTAAACGTATTTATTCCCTGACCCTCCTTCTTTTCCCCATTGCCAAATAGAGCTTCAAGGAGAATTAATATCACATAGCTGGGATGAGTTTTGGAATATTGGTTATAGAAAGAATTAGCTCCCATGAATTGAGCCCCAAGATCAAAGTTGAATGATGGTAGTGCATACCTCTTGAACTTGTAGATCAAAAACACAGCCAGGCCGACAAACACCACCGACAAGAGCATGAGCATGGCCGAGCTGCTGCGCCCAGCGCTGGAGTCCACCAATGGAGCTAGGAGGAAACAATACGCTCACTTGGAAACTATCTGCTGAAGTGAACACCCATTGGAGAAAGGAGATCAGGTGGGTTCCATCTTTCTATCCATTCTCCAATTGCCCTCAACGCTACCTGGGCACAGGAAGCTTGGTTTCAATGATGAAATTGTATCTGCAATCACAGCTTCTTAGGGAAAGTAAAGCCCTCTCTTCTTCCTGGGGAGACTTGATGTTCTTGGTGTAAAGTTAGCAATGTGTGTCCAACTAAAGGCAGTAGAAGACAGGCTTAAATGCCCTTTCCCTTAGCCTGAGCATCTGTCAATGCAATTACAGGTAGCTCATGGGGAACTTTGGATTAAACACTGATGTAATGTCTCAGTCTCTACACTGTTCTGGTGAAACATTGCCAGATGAGCACATTTGGAATCTCCACATATGACAGCTATTAGAGCCATAAGGGACACTTAGCAAACAGGCTATTCCAAAGAACCAGAATTGGATGCCCAAAGGGACATATCTTCTTTTATTACTTTTACAAATCAGCCAACTAGAGTTGATCTCTGTTTCAACTTAAGCTCAAGTTTTCTGATCTTACCTCCCAATCAAGATTTATAGAATCAGAAAAATCACAGAAATTAAGAGAGTCTGAGGATGGTCTAATATAATCCCAACTGTTTCAGATTTAAAAAAAAAAATGTCAAGGCCCAAAGAAATTGTAGGTTTTCCCCAAGAGCATCCAGGGATTCAACAGCAAGTCACTTCTAAGAAAGTCTTCTCGCCACCTCAACAGGAAGCCTGTAATTAATCTTTCTTAACCATTCCTATACAAAGAGCCCTGCCACAAAGCCATTTTCAGGCATTTATGGAAAAGTATTTGCTAATTATCTTCTCAGTTTTCTCTCCAGGATAACAGATCACCATACCCATTTCCCCCCTGAATCCCCATAGGCACTCACCTAATGTCAGCTGTGTGACATACACAATGACTTGAACCCCTGGCTTCAGTTCAAACTGGACCAAGTTTTGGTTCAGGGCATTAAACAGCATTTCTACAATCTAGGAAAAAAGAGAGAGAGGCTACATGGGAAGGCATGACCTGTGACAATGCTCCCTCATGAAGTAAGAAACCAGGGTCAATAGGCAAAAAAACTAAACTAAACTAAACTAAAAACAACAATAACAAATGACCATGTTAAATCAGAGGACAGGCTATTGGGATGTCTTTAACAATTTGGTTCCCTTCGAGCCCTGTGAAGCCAAACAAGTAGTTGGTATTATTCGCTTATACGGGAGACAATAATGAGACAAAGAGGAGTGTCCAAAGTCTCCTAGTAAATTCGAGTTGATAAGGGACGTTGATATTTCCTCCAACTCCTAGTTCAGTGCTCTTTTATCCATGCCTTTTAACTTACCATAGAAAAACCTGTGGTGGGTTCGAATGAAAGAAAGTCAACCCATCTTTAATCTGATCAAGCCATACACATAGGGTAGAGAGGCCCCACCAGGATTAAAGCAGGCACGTACTCCCCAGCCCACTCCTCTGCTTTCTTTTTTTGTTTCCCTCTTTTAGAGAAAATGAGATGCAAACATCAAAGCAGAAGCTGTCTCCTTTTTATGGGAAAATTTTTCCTCTTTTCTCCAGCAAACCTCAGAACACATAACATCAATTTAATCACTTCATAATTCCCACATGGAAGCAGAGGCAGACTTAGGCTGTTGTCCCTAACACTTATCTTGCTGTACGCGCCTTAATATCACAGCTGCTATTCGTCACCATAATTACCAATTTATCTAAATGGATGGATATTGTAGTTTCCAAATATAATTCACACATGCCACTTGCTATTTCAGAACAAAGAGGTCTTGTAAATGTGATGTATGCATTAGCTGAGTTTATTTCTGGCCAAGTTCACTATGCAACCCTGAAATGCAAGGATCCACTTCATTTCCCAAAGAAATAACTGGTGATGACCTCTGGGCTGCTTGATATTTGAGACAGACTGAGGACAGGTGTAGGGATGGGGTGATGGCCAGGTTAGTAGCAAAGGGATGTGGAAGATGCCCATACAATGATCACCTCCTATGAGAGCAAAAGTGTTTCATTCATGCTGATTTTTAGCAGCCTCATTCTCTCTTATTTTTACCTCTGACTTAGCATCCTAGGAAGGCAGGAAGGGTGGAGCAGAGCAGACACCAAGACTCCAGTGGGAGCAGAGAGTGATAGAAGGAGAAGCATGAGACCAGCCATCTCCTCTACTTCCTGGATAGTGTGCTGATCACAGGAACTAATTGCCCCTTTGGTAAGGACTATAAATCACAATCTTGTTTGGAAATGCTGCTTCCTTAGTCAAAGCAAGATGAGGCAATCCATCTCTCTCCACAGAAACATGTTTAAAGCAGTTCATGTTCTCCCCAGAAGCAGAGCTTAGATTGACCAGGATCTTTAAAGATAAGAAGTAACATTTCCCCAGCAACAGAGAAACTCAAATTCCTCTCCCTTTCACTCACATCTCTCTCCCCGCAGACAAGTCACTGGGTGGAAGACATGAGCAAGTTGCAGGAATGCCAGCTGTTGGAATAAATGATGCCGACTGCCCCAGTCTTTGTGCATCTGTTTATTTTGGATTAAGCTGATTATTTTCCAAAGCCCTGAGTACTAGACAAATAGTGGCAGGCTGATGGGCCAATGGGAGAGATCTTTTCTCCTTTTTTGGTTGGAGTTAACTTTGGGTCCCCCTAGAATGTGAGGTACAGGCAAGTGTTCTAGCCAAGTTTTCTTTCACTTACTTGTTCCAGGTCCCCTTCATTGCCTTTCCGCCGCTCCGTCAAGTTCTTTGGGGGGAGGATAAAGAGCTCTGCTGAAGTAGGCAGGCCAGGGAAGACAGCAACCAGGATCTGGTCTTCTGAGACACCAGTTACCTGCAAATGTGTGTAAACCAAAGAGTGAGGTCTTAGGGGAGCCAGACTTCCCTGAGTCAACAACAAAGAGCAGAATACGCACAGGTTTAAGGCGCATGCATGTTTTTAAATGCAGCATTTTAGGCACAGGATCCAATTGACATCCAGGCTTTCTTCCTGTCTTCCACTAGAAGTGCTAGGTAAGGAATTATTAGTTTTACAACCTCTTCTGTTCTTCTATACATTTTTACTGAACCTAAAATACTTTTACAAATAATTTTCAAAACATTGTTTGCTGGGAACATTTGCAAAGGCTCCCCCCACCCCCTGCCATATTTTCTGCTTTTCTGCGCTTAGAGAGTTCTGTCTAAAACATGAACAGACTGGCTGCAAATGAGGAATAAGAAGTTATAAACAAACCTGAGAAATTCCAATGAAAGCCAAAAAAAAGCAAAGCAGCACTGGTTTTCACTTACTAAAGCAGGATTTTTTATTAACTTAAAACAGCTAATATTGGCAAGGCTTCAATTAAGAGGTTCCCTCATTTGTTGCTGGCAGCACTAAAATTGGTACGTATTGCCAATTTGCTTTTCAAAAGACTTTGAGGCCATAAAATTTTTTCAGACCCTTCATTTAATTACTGTAACTTGGAGTGTTTGTCCTAGAGAAATGTTCTAAAATATAGAAATAAGGCATATGCAGGAAGAAATGCTTACATCCTTACTTATAATAGCAAATAAGTGGGAAAAAAATATATTTAAAAAAAAACATGAAGTAAATAATGATATCATCAACCTGATAGAATGTTACTCTACCATTAAGATGACAATTAGTACCATGAGCCAATGTGAGAAAAACACTTATGATAGCTGCATTCTGATCTATTTCCTTCTATTTCTTTGGTTACAACTCTATAAAAATAAAAATGTATAGGAGTAAAAAAGCAAAACACTAAAAGTTATGTTAAGATGCTGAGATGGTGAGTTAATTTTTCTATTCTTCAGTGTTTAGTAAAAGGACTATATTGGTTTATGATAAAAACTTAAAAGTAAGCTTCTGTCTGAAAGCAAATTCCTAACAAAAACAAAACTGATTTTCCCCCCTATATAGAGGATGACTATTCTTTCCTTTGTGTCTCCTGGAAGTCTTTTATCCAGAACAACACTTCTCCTTGTGCCAGTCCAAATACGATGATGTAATTTTTGATTTGAGAGAACTACCTGCCTCCTCCCTGATGATCTGCCGTAACTGACCTCCTCTGTGCCAGCTTCTCGCCCTAAGCCCTCCCGGAATACTATCTCTACCTCATTGCAGGGACTTAGATCATGTCCACTGTGGCAGGGGAGTACATCCGTCAGTACAGCCTTTTCTCTGATAGTTCCGTATTGTATGTTTGCCCAGACCTTCCTCGGGGGCTTTGTGGCCACCTCACTCTTCAAAAGATGCCTGACAGAGTAGAGACTCAATAAATAGTTGCTGGGCTGAATAGAAGTGAGAGGGTTAGTCGTTTCCCATTTGCTCAGCTCTGGAACTAGGCATACAGATTGGCGTTAACTCTCAGAAATGTGACAGCAGAGAGAGAGAGGGTCAATTTGAGAAGAAATAATAAGCAGCCATCAGAAGCCTAGAGAGTCCACTATACAGAGAGGTATCCTCTTGGGACCTGAGCTGGCTTTGCCAGAGGCCTGAGCATATCCTGCTGGAAGGAAAGACCCTGAGTAGCTAGAAGTCTCAGAGCCTAAGGGCATAAGGAAAAAAGCCTTATCCTAACCAGTCAGAGTAAACAACTCTTCAGGGACCTGACTGAGGACAAAATGCAGGGAATTATCCCATGGAGCAAAGTGGCTAAGCCTGTGAGTGCTGTGGCTGGTATGACCCTTTTTCCTAGGGAACTGTCATTTTGGGGAGCATCAGTCAGTCAGGAACCTTGGAGGGACCTTGAAGCTATGGGTCTAGAGTCTCTCAATATCATCCAAAGGAACATATAAGTGATTTTTCATAGTAATATTTAAGACCAAGGTATCAACTGGCATGGCTGATTATTATTTATTAGGATTACTGTTATAATTACCAAGTTATTTATTTAAAATCTTATATGTTTTTAGTGAATAAAATTATATAAAATACAACACAATTCTGGATGTTTCACAGTCAAAGGCATCCCAAAACAGCCTCATTTTTATCTTTTTCTATGAATAATCCCTTTGTCAAAAGATTTGAGGCAAAGTTCATCCTTTGGACAATTCCCTGCAGGAATGCTCTAATGCCATCCTCTTTTACTCATTCTTCTTGCTTTCGGTCAGGTCCTTCTCCATGTCTGTCCCTGGAGCTTTCTCCTCTGTCTTGGAAAGCATCAGGATTCGTGTCTGTCTTGGCTCACCTACCCCCTAAAGGGGGGTGTCTAAGGACCTCCACAACCTCCTCTCACCTCTCTTCCTCCAACTGAAACTTCCTCTTGATCTTCAGACCTATATTTTCAGCTTTCCTAGTTATCTTAACCCAATTGTTTCCCATGTTCTCCAACCTCAGACAAAAGAGCAAATCATTATGGTTCCCACAGTATGTTTCTCCTGCATAGCCCCCATCCTGATTAATGGCATGGCTGTCTCTTAACTACTCTTTAATCAGAAAGACTCTCCCTCTCTCTCATCCACTCTACATTTTATTAGTCACCAATTCTACTGTTCAGCATCCCAGGTAGCCTTTGAATCCTTCTTCTTCAGGGTTTTATTATCTCTGGGTAGGATAACTTTAGTAGGCTTATAACTAGTCATCTTTTGTGAAATCTATCCCCCACCTTATTCACTTCCCACCTTAGAACGCATCCTTTGTATTGCCACTAGACTGGTATATCTGAAATATAAATCTATTTTCAAGAATTTGTACTAAAATAAAAAACAACACATTTCACACTTCTAGTTTCTTAGACCATTCACAAAATAACTTAACCATCTTCGCTGAACATTATCTACCCTTGCCCTTAACACCTAAAGACTGATTAGACTAACTCTGCCATTTTCCAAATATACAGTGTCCTTTCAGTAGCCCATGGCTTTGCACATTCTGCTCATCCTACCTGAAGGATATTCTCCTCTGTTAACTACTATTTATCCTTTAAAACAGTCCAAGTACCTTTTCCAAAGACCATTCTGATAGTTCATAAGTATTTATTGAATCACCAATATGTGCTATGCTTGCACTTTTCTGAATAGAGTGAAGCTCACTTCTCTGCAAGCTCTTGTGATGCGCTGGCATGCCTCTAGCACAGAACTAACTGTATGTTAGAATTGGCCATGTTTTATTCATCATTATATTCTAGTGTCAGGCTCTGAGCAAAGGGTTGACAAAACCTTTTCAACTTTCTCTGACCTTGGTTAACTCTATAAAGTCTGCTGGCAGGCTCTGTTTCCTGGCCTGTAGCCCTCTAATCATCATGTATGGCTCACAGTGGTCTTGGTGTCTAAGTGTCTGATTCAGAAAACCCTCTTGGTGGGCAAAAAGCCAGGCAAGTGAATGATATTAGTATAGACTCAATGAGTAGTTCTCATTATTTCATTAAAGAGGTCAAACTCCTGTCTTAGAAAAAAATTGGGATAAATATGGGGCCAATCTCCATCCTCAAACATTGGCCCCTTTCTCTCTCTCTTCTCTTTCTTACTGTCTCTCGTTGTCTCTCCCTCATCCCACCCCCACCATTCCCTGTTCATTCTTCTACTCCATTTTTTATCTCTTTCTTTTTACAAAAAACCCTAACTGAACTACAGAATAGTGGTTTTAATCCATGAAAATTATTCTAGAGGACATCATCTGGCTCTTTATTCATAAAGATTTAAGCAAACATACAGCCAACTTACTTTAACCAGAGCTCTCTTGATGACATTGCCAATATCTTGCCTCCACTCTGGAATGTCAGGATTATGGTAATCCAGGTTAGGAGAGAATGATAGCAGCTGGGACTGGAAGTATTCTGCAAGAAGAGAGAGTGTGTGAGTGACACTGAGAGAGGATGTGAAAAGTGAGAAGACTCCACAATCACCATGCTTTACAGAGAGAGTCTGCACTTTCCTGTAGCCTCAACTATAATTCCTTCATTTCAGCCTGTTCCTTGGCCTCTGAAAGAAAGTGGGATTTGATGACTGGATGTAGATTTATACTCCTACTATTTTTTCTTAGTTCCCAAGATAAGCCCTTCTTCTAAAAGGTTATTACCTGAAATGAAACATAAGTATAAAGCCCCAGAAGGAGACTTTTGCTAGTGTAGGTGGTATCACGCGGAGCCAGTGACAAGTCATTAACACGTGGAGCTTAATGGCAATAGAATCTTTTGTGCTTCTCTCATTTTCTTTGTCCATCCTGCCAGCACTGCCTCAGGAGCGGGATGGTGGGAGGAGGGCTAGAAAGTAGGTTGAAACCCTGGATCTAGGGTGTGGGTAATGTTCAATTTCTTGACCTCGTTAGTGGGTACACAGCTTTGTTCACTTTGTGGTAATTCATGGAGCTAAAACACTTACGATGTGTACTTTTCTGTATTATATTTATACTTAAATAAAAATGTTTAGTTTTAAAAAGTCTAGGTGCCCAATGAGACAACCTGAGCATCATGTTTGCAATAGATATAGGAAAAAGCCAGAGAAACTAGTACAACTTTCTATAAAACCCCTGGAATAATGACTGTGTTCAGGAGCTTGGGGGAGGTTGTATGGGGTGATGGAAAAAGCACAATTTTATTTAAAGTAAATTAAAAAATTAAGAATGGTTCTCCAATATTGAGAACAGGATAATGGTCCTATTTACTAACCTCCTGTCTTGCTCCATCCTTTATTCTTAGCCTGTGTTCAGCCTTTGCAGCCAATGATGTTAGAATTGTCACCAATAAAAAAAACACGTAGGTTATGTTTTGTTGATTTTAGTCTCTGAGCTATGAGCTCTTCAAGGGCAGGGACCATGACTCCTCCAACTTTTGAAATCATTGGTCCCCATCCCCAGAAAGAATGGGTGCAGCACAAAGAGTGGGTGCTGTGTGTGTGTTGTAGATGCTTCAATAGGACATCAGATCAACTGCTTCTACCACAGTTTTCCCAGCTCAGTATCATTTCAATTTATGGTAAGTCTATAGATAATGAGACCATTAGGTCGTGATGTAGACACATCCCAGAAGACAACAAATGCCTGTCTGTGTCCTGCTTCTCTTGTAAGCCCTGCCTTTATTCAGGAACAAGGTAGGAAAAAGGTTTGGCTATCTCTTGTGGACATACATAATTTTCCCATGTCCTGGTGAATTCCCAAAGCAGGCAGCAGTTGTCACGAGGATGGATAGAGGGGATTGGCTGGGTAGGAGGAGGCATCACAAGGGTGATTTTCAGGGTTTACCATGAACTGCGATATCCTTTGTGTCCTGGATGAGGGCATTCCCAGCGGCTACCTGAACAGTGATGGTGTTGGTTCCCTCTGCAAGGAACGTGAAGGAAATGCTGCTGTCCAAGGTGATGAGGGGCTAAGTAGAATAGAAAGACTGATTTTAATCCTCTGTGTGATAGATTTCCTCCTTTCCTGTAAATCTCAGACTGTAAAAATTTGCATAGCATTTGCATATCCCTAAGGGATGTTAACTTGAAAAAGGAAAAAAGAAAATTAGACTTCCTCAAAACTGTGACTATACCCAGTGTCCAAGAAGAGTGTTAATAAAGTCAAAATACACTGTAAAATGTTAATCCTGAGAGATAAAGACTGGACACCCTGGATTTTGCTTGTCATTCTGTTCCTTCTCCTGGGGCAAAGTAGAAGCATATTTTGTAACCTATTCCCATTGGCTCTGGAAAGAGAGTCAATATTCTCTTCTCCAACATTCCATGTCACTTGTATTTTCATCCTGTATTCCATTGGACTGTACGACTATTCAGAAAAGTGACTGTATTTTATGATTTCTGTCACTCACTCTTGGCACACTCTAATGCAGATAGCAGACTATTTATAGAAGGTGGGTGCCTAGTGATACTACTGAATTTTTATTTTATTAGATCTGTGTTTCCCATTGCAAGCCATTTGCAATATTTTTAGTAGGTTGAAAAACATATAAAATATATATCTATGATCATTTTTAATCTTTTTCTTTTTGTTTTATTTTCCTTATTATAAATGAACATGAAGGTTTGTCTAGGGTAAAGAGAGGAACAGAATAACTCTTTTCCCTGCAAATTAAGATCTTTATAAAATCTGGAGCTTTTTGGAGAGAAGAGAATGAAGATCTTGAGATTAACAAGTCGCTGTTCAGTGATGTCATCTGGAGGTCCACGCCCTGTCAAGTTCTCCAGCATTTGCAAGGAAAGACTTAATAGGAGGAGGTTTCTCTAAGGCAACTCACAAGGAGATATCACAAGCCCAGGTGAGCAGACACCCTCTCCTCTCTGTGTCAAACCACAATGGGATAGAGAGTAAGCATGTAGCCAGCTGGGGATGCAGAGAGCTCTAAGGGGTGGGTGTCAGCCAGTGCTCACGCAGCAAACCCATGCATCTTTACTGAACATGGCTTGGATAGGGGGCCAGAACCCTGCAGAGGCTCAGAGAGGCAGCTTTCAGACAGCGTCCCTGCTGCAAGGCAGGAATTTCTTTCTAGCTCAGAATTTTAAATGGTGCCTGTGAAATGACAATTTGATTTCTTCTGCTTTAAAATTCTCTACAGGTGGTAGGTATATAGACACTCACTATAAAATTATTTCAACTTTAGTGTACATTTGGAGGCTTTAACAATAAAATGTTCAGAGAGAAACAAAAACAAAAATGAATAGTCAATGTGTTTTTATTTTTCTTGACTCCATGAATTACTGTCTCTGACCATGACTGTATTAGATTGTCCTTCTGTTCTGGTGTGTCTGCCCTCAGCTCTCTCTCATTTCTTTCCTACCTATCACTGCCAGGGTATCTCTCTTCCTTTAAGAACTGGTTCTTCAGGGAACCATCACCACTTTCCTGTCATCTTCTTCAGCTCTCAGTGGTCTGCATGGCGCCCTCTCCTTTCTCTGCACTCTCTTCTTGTCTTAGATTCAGGTGGTCAGTGCTGTGCCGACCTTTCTGAGCAGACTGGAATGCCTCTTGTCTCAGCAGATTTGATCTTCTCCTCATCTAGCTACTTTCCTAGGAGATCCAGGGGCCAAGCAAGGACACAGGGCAGCAAGGCAAGGGAATGCCGGCTGAGGTGGGAAGGGCAATGCCATCCCACCATCCAGACAGGGCTCTGAGCCACTGCAAACAAACTGTGCTGACAGGTAAACTGGGTCTCCGGGAGGCAGGCCCCAGGCTTTGCTGTTGGGGAAATGGCAGGAGCTAATTTTCTTTTCCAAATTGCTCTTGTTTTCCATCACCTCTTAGGGCATCACAGCTGATATCACCTTCCTTGCAAAGCTGGAACACTCAACAGGATCCTTGAATTGTTGGTTGGCCACCGGTATCCAGTGCACAATGCTAAATTAAATCAAGTATTTAAGGTTCATTTACAGGATCTATTAGGCAAGCAGACTCATTTATTAAAGCCAGACCTCTGTTAATCCCAGCAAATTGGCCATTCGGAGACCCATAAATCCAACAGGCGGCCAGCCAATTGACTTCTCTGTTATTGTCCAAGCTGTAGGGCCAACCCACAGCGAGGCTGCTTGGAATAACACCTCATGTCCTTCCTAGGCTGGGCACTACATCCCTTCCCACAAAGAACCCCTCATGCATGACAGGTCACATATTATCCACTGAGCCCAGCAAGAAATCAACAAAGCTCTGAGTGACTACTTAGTTATGAGATTTCTACTTGACCAATGAATGAGATAGGGAACTTTGGAGAAATCTTTGCAAGCAGCCTACACCAGTTTGCCAGACATACTAAGTCAAGTTAATATTGTATGTTATGCAATCAGTACAATTTCAAAGTATATGTTGATGAAAACTGCCATTCCCAAGTTGGAATCAATACTCTTGCCTTACTTAAAACCTTTAGCATATTATATACCATGTATATACCACGTACACCATGTGTAAAAAGTGCTTATCACATAAAGTGGAAAAGGCAGAATATGTCATCTGAATATACTAGGATTTGAGCTATGTGAAATCTCTAAAATACATACAAAGAACAGAAATAAATAAAACAAAAATGGTATATATAGAATACTATCTGTGACTATAGAGATAATGTGAAAATTCAGTTTGGAAAAACATTCCTCAAATGCACACACACAAACACACACATTCAAAAATTATTCAAAAGTATCTCAATGTCTAAGTATCACTGTCCATGAATCTGGTTTTATATTCTTCCATCTTTCTAACCAAAATCTGAGTTTCTACAACAAAATAAAATACATCCCTTTATGTCATTGAAAGCCACCGACTGTCTATCCTTCCACCTTTCATTATATTCTCCAGTTTCTGCTTATGTTTTTTAATCCTCTGTGTTATGTGAATCTGTCTATACCATCTACACAGAACACAATCATGCCCAAAGCATTAACTTTACATGCAAATTCCTTTCCTTCCTCTCTGCCTCAAGTCTACTGCTCCTTCAATGCCAGCTTAGGACGACCATCTTCACACAGGATTCATTCCATGACCAACATACTCTGTGTCCATCACCTTCAAGGCTACTGGACTAGGCCAGTAATAGTACATTCCTAAGGATAGTACCTTATAATATCATTACTTCGCAGTATCAATAGTATCTATTACCTTACAGTATCTTTTCTTAGATGTGAACCTTATATTCTCAAATAGATTATATTTCTTGAAGGCAAAAATTGGAATCTACACTTCCTTGTATTCCTCATTACATGTAACATAAAATACAGGCTCTTGAAGAAGATCCATTGAGGTAGTGCTTCAGTTTCACATCGCTCACTGTTAATTTTGTAGGTATATTTGTAGGTTAATTTTGAGTTGATATGTAGATTTCAGGAATGCTTGATCTTTTCTGTTTACTTATATACCACATTTGCTCACCATTCATAATCATAGCATGTGTGTTTATCCTGTCTTCTGTGTGCAATGTAATTTCCTTGAAGGTAGAGGCAATGCTATGTGTGTTTTCTGATTCCCAAGTACACCAAGCAGAAGCCTAGACATAAAGGGTGGGGTATCAATTGATTATTATTGAGAGATAATGTAATTCAACCACCTGGGTGAACCTGTCCAATTCACCTAGTCACAACACACACACACACACACACCCACCCACCCACACACACACACACATACCCCACTATCTTCTAAGCTAATTAGCCTGTTTGTAAAATAGGATAATTTCTTTTTTCTCAGTGATGTTATAATGATTAAATAAAATAATATGTATTAAGGAACTAATACAAAGCAGTACTGGGAATAAATACTTAAAATTAGTATTAGCTCCTTTTACAGATCAGTTTGCTAGTCAAAGGGAACCAAAGGGCTCTAAAATCAGATTACGCACCATGACACCAAAAACACTCATTCCTTTGTGAGCCAAAGATGGTGGTCATTGGATTAATTATTGGATACAGTGGTCACCTTGATGTGTTCATGGCATGGTGCTACAAAAAACACTGAAAATGTGTCCATTTCAAATGGACTGAATAATCATTCTTGGAGGTGAAAGGGAAATCCATGGAACTAAGTCAGGTTTGTCACTGAGATGTAGACTCTATTAATGCAAATGATGAGCATGCACAATGTCAACTGATATGTTCACATGTTTAGAGGTATTCTAAGCACTTAACATATCTTTCTTTACTTGATCCTCAAAGCAATATTAGAGTATAGTGACTACTACAATATCTCTGACACTGTAGTGAACAAAACCAGGGCACAGAGAAATGATTTAACTGAAGGCACACAGCCAAGAAGAATCTGAGTCTGGACTCCAATCCACTTTTGTCCTGTTTCAAAACCACTCTATTCTAATACCTCTCATGTATTATCATTCTCTTGCTTCTCTGGGAACAAAAACCAACTGGTGAGACTTTGCAAATCTTGGTATTTTGGCAGCACTTCATGCTCATGTTTATAAATGGATAATTACTAACCAAATGAACACCTCATGTCATCATAAATTTTAAAAACTATAATGTCCTCCAGTTATTTTAAAATGTCCCTTGGCACAATATAGATTAGATTGATAGATAAACACTTTATACCTCAATGTTCATGGATTACATATTAGTATCCTCACTTTGGAGAAATAAACACTGAGCCCCACGTCAGGTGATTTGTTCAAACTAACACAGATAATCATTAGAGAAATTGAACTTAGACTCGCCAATCCCTTTATCCACTTTTCTGGTTATTTATCAAATATTTATTCAGCACTGTCTCGTATTTCAGTTCTTAGAATCAGCACTTGAAGAAAATAAATGGGGCTGTAGAGAAACACTGTGCATTAGGTTCCTTGTAGGCTGCTGAGTAAATCCTTGTGTTGATGACCAAGAACTGCCTGCCTTGCACATAGTAGTTTCACAGAAAAAATCACCACTAAATGAATAGTAACAGAAAAGAATTCCCTGGCTTAACAGCCAATACTTCACATCATCAGAGGAAAAATGAACTTAAATTTCTTTTCTTTCTCATTGTCTCTCCCCAAATGATTTTTTTCCTTCACCATGTATGTCTGCTGGCCTTTGAAGGACGATTTTAGGATCTGTAACCTCAATGGGGCAGTGTGATGCAGCTAAAGCATCCTGGGGCTAAAGGAGAGGGCAGTACCTGGTAGGAGGGAGTTTGGAGACCAGGGTTTTAGGTCTGAGTTTACAATTAACCAGCTGTTTCACCCCGGGGTGCTCATCTTACACAGGGAGCTCTACTTCCTTAATGTACCAAATGGGGATTTTATTAATTAACCTCCATACCCATTTCCTGGTGAGTAATAATTCCAGAAATGCACATCAGTAGCCTTTGCTAAAAAAATGGATCTGAAAGTATATAGCCTGGATAAGGCAAAGAGAAGAGGGGCTCTTGGTGTATGAATCTGTTTCTATTTTTTATCAGTCCATTCTAACTCCCAGTTTTTAGGATAAAATGAAAAGCATCTCTTTAGTGAATACCTACAGTGAGCCAGGGGGATGCACATTCTTTCACTTTTAGTTTGCACAACCACCAAGATGACACAGATATTATTCTTTCGAGTGTGCAGTTGAGCAAATTAATTTTGAGGTCAAATACTTTGACCAAGCTCATGTGGCGTGCATGTGGCGGTGCTGGACCCTGAATCGTGTCTCTCTGACTCCTTTTATGCAGGGGCTTAAGTTCTTTTATCATCTTGAAATAGGCAAACAAAACCAGCATTGCGTCATTCATGTTTCAAAAACATTACTAAACCAGCAATTAAATATGTGTTACCCCTTTTAGATATTCAGCATTTCCAAATGTCATATGATAGCTTTCTTAAGTTATTTAAAAAACTAAAAGTGATCCAAGGTGAGCAATGCCAATCACATCAAAAATGGTCAAGGAAAATGCAAAGACCATAACATGAACAGAGACAGACATTAAGCCCTCAAATCAAGGGACCATCAGCCTAAGTGCTCCCAGATTCTATTATACCAGTGTGGATATTTTTGACACAAGTGTCACCACCACGAGTGCTGGGAGCAGGGAGCATCTGCAAAGTTCAGAGTTTGGCTGCTTTAGTACCTTTCTGTCTAACTTGGCAACATCAGTACCATGTCTAAGAGGACCCCTGGCCTTCAAAGAACACTAGTAGGTCTTGATAAAGGTTCTTTACATGCACTGTCCCACTTCCTCCTCAGAGCTTTACATTTAAATATATAATTCATATTTTGTAAATGGGGTTACATAATCTCAGAAATTCTAAGTGACTTCATTGGTATTACATAGCTAGTGTAAAGTCTAGGATTAAAACAGACGGAGCAAGGGAAGTTTTAGAAATATTGATCACAGGAGCAAGAACAAGTAGACTGGTATAGTTTCTCAGAGTACTCTTTCTTCTTTAGGGTTGTTTGAACTTCCCCTATAATAATAATGAACTGGGGAGTTATGTCATATTCAGTCATGTGGATTCATAGCTTCATTAAGTACATCCTCTTGCCCATATCCCCATTGTCCCCAACGTTAACACAGAACCTAGAGCCAAGGAGCATTCATTACAGATTTAATCAGACACCAGGCAGAATGGACCGAACCTTTGTGCTATTGCCGAACCACCAGAAGTAGGTAAGAGTCCCCAGTTGACTGGGCCACACGACTGCACTGATGTTGACCTCCTTATTTCTTATGGCAACAAATGGAACTCGGAGATGAACATGCTCCACGGGACCTGAAGGAGCAAGGAAAACAATGTCAATGTTTAAATTCCTGGAATAAACAGTCAGACTATCACATTGCAGATTCTTAATCTTAACCATTATTACCATCATCTGAAGCAACCAAGGATCACAAACTCACAGATGTTGAGAGATAAAGGAAACATCACCTATAATAGGGAAATCAAATCAGGCTTCAGATTTTTTTTTTTGAGTGACATTTGAACTTGATTTATCAATACATCTGGTAAGTCAAACCACAAATGCTTATGAGACTCCGATCCAAGGACAAAGCTAGTTTACTAGACACTGAGCCAATAAATAGGAAGGAAAACAGCAGTCACTTTCATTTCTGAGCATTAGCCTGTACAGTGATTCAGGGTCAATGCACCGCATGGGGGGCTCTTCCATTATCCTCAATTGTTAATTTGTTCCATGCTCTCCAACCATCGGCCATTGTGCCTGTCATTGGCAATACTCAGTGGGTGTCATTCAGAAGCAGGCAAGCTGTGTTACAAAGAAGAAAAAGCCCATCTCCCTAAACTGAGAAACAAATGCCAGGTTCCCAAATAATAAAAAGGCTGTTTGCAAAAGGCTGACCAAACATTTTTTTTCTCAGAAAACTGAGATAAGCAGTATCAAATTCCAAGGTAAGAAAACATACAGGAATATACTCTATGCATAAGAAATGAGGATTTTAATTACATTCATTTCCAAAATAAAATGAGAAGAGGAAAATGTTAATGGAAAATGTTAATATTTCCATGTTGTACTGGTGGGGTAGATATGTTATTACTTAATTGTCTTTGGGATTTTCTCCTCCACTTCCATTCCTTCCTCTTTCCTTTTCCTTTCACCCTTCTTGCCTTCCCTGCTTCTTTAATTATTCTCTATTCTTTACTTTCTTATTTCCCCTTCCTTTCCCTTCCTTATGTTTTTCCTACTTAATCAAATCCAATTAAAATGCTCTAATTACCTGTTCACACTAAGGGCACATTTCCCTGGTTTCCACTGTCACAGTTTGATTAGTGAAAGTGACAAAAAGTCACAAATGCAGCAAGGACATCTCTTCAGCCTGGGGATCTTGAGTGTTTCCCATTGGTGGGACCAATTTCAGGCCACCCAGCCTTTGCTACTTGCATCTTTGATCATTTTGGAGACAACCCAGTTTGAATTGAAGAAATGACATGAAAAAAGATGGATGCTTCTCATTTCTGCTCTGGTTCACATTAACTATATGATCATTTCCTCTATCTTACAGAGTCTTGACCTTATATGGACCATTACCTTGTCCTAAAAATAAGGGACGGTACTTGCTCTGCCTTCTTTATAGAAGTAAGAATGTATGAAAGTAACACGTGGCTGTTAAAAGTACCACAGAGTTAACAATGGGTTTGCATTATCCCTATGCCCACCACCATGACCACAATAGCATCACTGTTTTTGTGTATCTTTGGGTAGATTCCCTCTAAAGACATTGGGCAATATTCTGTGTTGTAGGTAAATTTACATTGGGGCAGAAGGTGTTTTAACATGGACTGATGTTGGGTGATAAGACCAACCCAGTCTGCATGCCACTGTCCAGATTGTACTCTCCTAAACTGTCAACAAGTCTTCAAGAATCTGTGTATCTACACCCTGAAAATAGTCTTTGCCTGCAACTCTCTGACCTGACCCTGGATGTATAGCACATCAAGATTCCTTTTAGCAAAGAACCTGAACCTTGTCACTTCAGAGTCTTAATTATTATCGATAAGGAAGTCTTCAATTAATTTTGTATGGTTAATTTTCATTGTCGGTGAGAATAAAAAAACACAAGATGTGAGAAAACACTGACTGCTTTCAGTGCTTTAGGAGTTCACCTGATGAATCTCTCTCTGTTGTTTGTGCTTTACTGATCAGTGGGGCAGAGAATGAGGCAGTGGGAAGGAGTCCCTGGCCAGCCCATGTCCAAGAAGGGGGATGAGAGAGCTGTGTCTTCCATCATCACCTCAGTCATTCTCCATGTGCAGATGCAGTTCCCTCACTCTTTCCCTCTTCCCCTCAAAGTCAATGCTCCTGCTTTCAAGTGAATATGGCCTGAAGCTCATTCCCCTGGCCAGCTCATGAGAACCCCAGGCTTTTCCAGAGTTAAGGGATGAGGTCCCTATGGCTTGTTGCCCTGCAAATTCTTGTCAGCCTGCTATCACTCAGGGGTCAGGGTGTACACTGCCAGGTATTTTGATGCTCAAGATGATAAAAGGAGACCTCTTCTCCCTAAATTCACAGAGACACAAAAGGAGTGGGGCTTCCATGAACTGGGACACCATCAAATTTGGCCACATTTACTCCAGCTTCAGGGCAAGCATGTTTGGGTAAATATAATCTCTAGTAACAAGAACAGGTAGTAGCTGTTTAGCACAAACAGCCTGAGCCAGAAGCTTCAGGCTTCAACCTACACAGAGACAGACCATGGACCAGGGAGAGGAGAGCTGAAAGGATTCAGAAGCAAGCAAGGCAAATGCCTAAAACCATCACTGTCCAATAGCACTCTTTTTGATAAAAATCTAATAATCTGTGTGAGATTGGTTATTATGGGCAGCTAACAACTACTTTTGTTAGCTAATGGCCCAAGGTGAGGCCAAGAACAGTTTGCACTATAATAACTGTCTGGTAAATGCAGCCATGATTGATTTGGAGGGAATTACGAGCACTGTAAAAGTTTCGAGGAACATTTCCTCCTTCATGCACAAAACCCACAGTATAAACCTGTTCCATGACATTGTGTTTTCTGTCACTAAGACACATCGGTCTTTGCACCCTGCAGACAAGGACTATTCTTGCCACAATTAGGAACAGAGGGGTGGGGCAGGTCCTTGGAATAGAGAGAAGTAATCCTTTTTCTTTGTCTTCATTTTTAAATGCAGCAGAAGTGTCAGGAAGTTAATAGGAAGTACTTAGTATAGCTGACCCTTGAACAACATGGGTTTGAATTGTGTGGGTCCATTTAAAAAAAATTGTATTGAATTTTTTCAATACATTGGTTAATAAAATTTTATAGGTTTCAGATGTACAACTCTATAATACATTGTCTGTATATTGTATTGTGTGTTCACCACCCCAAGTCAAGTCTCCTTTTATCACCATATATCCTCCCTTTATTCTCTTCTACCTCCTACCACATCCCTCTTCCTCTCGTAATCTCCATACCATGGTCTGTCTGTGAAGTTTTTCGTTTTTTTGCTTAATTCCTCCACCTTTTTCACCCAGTTCCCCCAACTCCCCTTCCTTCTGACAGATGTCAGTCTGTTCTCTGTATTTATGAGTCTGGAAGAAAGAAATTGAAGAAGATACAAATAAGTGAAAACATATACTGTGTTCATGGATTTGAAGATTTAACATTATTTAAATGTCCTAAGTACCTGAAGCAATCTATCAATTCAATGCCATTCCGATCAATATACCAATGGTGTACTGCAAAGAACTAAAACAAGTATTCCAAAAATTTATATGGAACAGCAAAAGAACCTGAATAGCCATAGCAATCTTGAGAACGAAGAACAAACTTGGAGGAATCATACTACTTGATAGCAAACTACAAGGGGAGACCTAAAAAAACAATGGAATTTATTTATAAAAAATTGTGTACTTATTCTTACATCTTTAAACTTCAGTCACCTTCAACATACTCTCCATTTGATGAAGTACACCTATCGAGACTTTTTTCCACTGCTCAAAACAGTTTTTGAACTCGTCGATTTTGAGGCTTTCTAGTGTTTCTCCCATTTTTTTGTTTCACCTTTTCCACATCTGCAAAATGTTTCCCTTTGAGGAATATTTTCATCCAGAGAAACAAAAAAAAAGTTGCTCAGTGTGAGATCAGGTGAATAGGAAGGGTGGGGCATGGGGGTCATTCTGTTTTTGGTCAAAAACTGCTAAACACTCAACATGGTGTAGGCAGGTGCATTCGTAAATCACATATCATGAAATGGGCAAACACATTGAAAGAGTTTTTTAAAAAATTCACTGAAGCTGAAGACAGCCTCTCACAGCAATGTCAGCTGGTCCACTGATGCCAGTGGGTTCCTAGACCACTCACCCAGTGAGGAAGCCTACAAGAAGCCCACCCTCCAGAAGATAATTCCTTTCTTTTTGACCTCCCTCTACAAGGCCATAGTAATCAAAACAACATGGTACTGGCATAAAAACAGACATATAAAACAATGGAACAGTATAGAGAGTCCATAAATAAACACATGCCTTTATGGTCAATTAAAATTTGACAAAGGAGGCAAGAACATACAATGGGATAAACATAGTCTATTCAATACATGGTGTTGGGAAAATTGAACAATATTTGCCAAAATAATGAAACTAAACTACCTTCCTACAGCATACACAAAGAAAAACTCAAAATTTAAAGGCTTAAATGTACAGGACCATTCATACATGGATTTTATCAATAAATATATACATAATAAAAATGTATTTTCTCTCCCTTATGATTTTAATAATATTGTATTTTCTATTATTTTTTATTATAAAAAATACAATATATAATACTTAGACAAAATATGTGTTAATCAACTTTATCAGTAAGGTATCTGGTCAACATTAAGTAGTTGATCAACTATTAGTAATTGAGATTTGGGGGAGTAAAACTTATATAAGGATTTTGACTGCCCAGTGGGTCAGCACCCCTAACACCTGTGTTGCTCAAGAGTCAACTCTAATTACTATCACAGGTAACATTCATCATGGGCCAAGTTGGGTACTAAGTGGCATTTTGCACACTGAAGAAAAATGTTAACAAAGACCTGAAATTGCCATTTGTCAAAAGATCTGTGTGTAATGCTGGACCTTGACTAGTATCTGGGAACTTGACCCTGGGAGTGTTTCTAGTGAACAGTTAACTGATAAGAGTAGTTCACTCTGACTAAACTGTTTTGCCAACAATATGGTTTATTCTGAATACCTGTTTTCCTTGGGGAATCTAACTTAAGGGATACACTAGGCAAAGAGTGCCTACTTGATCAGAACCCAATAGAAATCATGGACACTAAGTCTCCAAAGAGATTCTCTGGTAGACAGCCCTTCACACATGTTATTGCAACTCATCGCTAGAGGAATTGAGCATGTCCTGCATGACTCCATGGGGAGCGAACTCTTGGAAGCTTCTTCCTCATTTCCTCCAGACTTTGCCCTATGAGCCTTCTCCCTTTGGTGATCTTGATTTGTCTCCTTTCACTGTAATAAATCACAGTCATGAGCACAGCTACAGGCTGAGTCCTGTGAGCCTTTCTAGGGAACTGACAAACCTGGGGGTGATCTTGGGGAGCCCTGACACACATGCATAATCCAATTGGTTCTTACAGCCTCCCTATAATCTAAATATTAAAGATGAGGAATCTGAGATTCATAAAGGCTCAGAAAGTTGGCCAATATTATACATTTAACTATGGATAGAATAAATGTAGGTCTCTCTTGCTTTTAATCCTGGGCTCATGAATACCTTGCATGCCACCTGTCTAGGTTTCTGACTTGGTGCTTCTGGCACAGAATGATTATAGTTGGTGTTGTGTGGTTATCATCCTTTGGGCCCTTGATGGCCCATTCTTTCAGAACCTCCCCATCCTGCCCCCAGAATATAAACTCTGCAAGGGCAGGGCCATATCTGTATTGCTGCCTTCCCAGGTCCTAACAGAGTGCCTTGCATATATTAAGAACTCACTAAATATTTGTTGAATAAGTTAGTGAATGATGGTATGTTTTATTTGTGTTTCTTGTATACTGTTATAAAAGCCTTGTGAAGCCAGTACCAGTTAGAATAAAGCCATTTTGAAATTAAAGCTCAGAAGACTATAAGATGAAATACTTTATCTCATGTCCACATAGCCTGGCCTCTTTAAGAGTATAACGGAGTTATAATCTAGGTCTCTTCCCTTGCACTTCCCCTATTATTGTTGGTCCCCGTTCTACTAATGTGATTAGAATGCTCAGAGACTAGCTAAGCTCATTGTTTGCAAGGGACCTTTTAAGTGTGGGTTGTTTATATAGTGGAGTTTATATCATCACTGAGTTGTTAATAGGAAAGGTGTTTCTTGTATTCATTTACACTCTTTTAAAATGTGGCATTTTCAACACATGTAGCATATTACTCCAAAAGTACCATGGGATATATAAATACTAACCATAGAAGTCCTTAGACCCATGAATGTCACTGATAGAGATTTAGAAAACCAGTGCCAGCCCCCATAATATTTCCTTGGTCCAACATTCTAAAATCATAATATTTAAGTTTCATTTTACATGAGCCAAGTCCCAGGATAGAAAATACACAAAATGCATCCAGTACAAACAAAATATTCAGAACTTCAGCTGTTGTGTTGGTTTGTGCCAAGTAAGAGCCAACAGCAGTGAAATAACATTCTGGGGCAGCAAAAACATTTTGGAGAGTTCTTAAAATTGCTTACAACAGGAATACACTTGGAGTACCCTTAGATGTAAGAATTAAGGTCTTTTGTTTGTTCCGTTCTACATTTTTAAAAAATCTAAACATGCTTCTTTAATCATTCTTTGGCTCTTCTAACACAGATAACACAGGGAAGGGACTTTCACCATCAGAACAAAGTGGAGCTGAAAAGGAGGGGCCAGTTAGTAACAAGTTATCCAAACTTTTGAAATAACCAATCTACTTCAGTGTTAGGAAACTGAAACACAGATGAGCACACAGCTCAATCTTTTGACTTAGGCCACCATTTAGCATAGCAGTCACACCAAATCCTGTTCCAGCTCTGAATCCCAGAAGTTTGGACAGAGGGAGTTGTCCACTGAGAGGAAAGTAGGAAAAGGGAGGGCTCATGCTACTTACAAACGACGTGCAGGAAGAGGACAGCTGTGTCCGAGCCCAAGTTGTTCTCTGCATAGGCCGTCACCTGGAAGATCCCTGCATTCTTGTACACATGCTTGATGCCATCTTCAATGGGGCTGAAGTTAGCATAGGACACTGCAATCCCATCCCCAAAGTCAAGCTGGATGTTTGTCCTTTGGAGATCACCCTGAGAAGGAAACAGCATTTGGCCTGGGTCCAATCACGTGGTCCAGCCTGACCCTACCTAATGTTTCAATCTGTGCCTTCACCATCACCCTCTGAAAACCTGAAGTCACTCCCAAGGGGCTGAAGCACTCTCAGCACAATCGACAGACCCCTTAGATAATATCCGCTCGGCACTATGGACCTATTGTCGCTGTACGCCCAGGCTCAGGCAGCCTGGGTTAGTGTGACACTGGCAATAATGGATAAGCAAGAGACTCTATGAAACTCTGAAGTGGGAGAGCCAAGGGCTTCCCTGGCTCCCTCACACATGGTTTAATTATTCCTCTCCTGTGGCATAATGATAACAATAGTAATAATAGTAACAGCTAACACAGTTTCTTTTCAGTTCCAAGCATTTAATTTCCTCACAACTCCATAATGTACAAAGTATTACTGTCACCATTTTACAAATGGGGACAAAAATAAAGTAATTAGACCAAAGTCTTGCAGCTACTAGTGGGAGAGCCAAGTTTTAAACTCTGGCAGTCTGGTTTCAATGCTAATGTCCTCAACTACACTGTAATTATAATTGTTCTTATTTTTTATTATTTATTATTATGTTCCAAGCATTACGCTAATAACGCCACCTTCAGAATAACTCTATAGGGGTAAAAGGATGATTCCCATTCTGCAGATAAATACTGCTGACCAGCTAAGATTACACCTGTGCTCTGCTGCCCTTGCACTTCCCTAAACCTACCTAAGCCCCCTCTTCCCTGAAGCATTTTCTGACCCTCCCAGCTCACAGATACCTCTTCCTCTTAAAAGGCCAAGAGATTCCTGGGTGCTGTCTGGAAATGTGACACCAATGGATCAGGGGAGTGCATCTGACCACCCCAAGCCGATGCTCAGCTTCTTAAGGGTCAACACTAAACCCCATCCTTCCTTGCTGCCCCCCACTCTGCCCATATTGGGCCAACACTCTGCATAAATGCAATTGAACCTGACCACAAAACAAAGACATCAGATGAAAAAGAAGAATCAGATCTCTGTTTATATACAATGAAAGAGAAAAGCCTCATTTTGGAATTATGAGCCAATCCTTCTGCCCAGTGAAAGTGCATCCATCATAGTTTCGCTCTCTGTCTCTTACCCCATAGCAACCTAGCTGTGTGTAAAATATTGATAGGTGCTCCCCTGCCCCACATACAATGTCAACTACTTTTGAGTTTATGAATATAAATTAAAGTGGAAATGAACTGGAGGCAATTCAAATGGATAAGATTGTGACTCTTCATATCCATTCAAGAGAAGGTTTTTATAGCTCAGGTCTGGGAAACTCCCCAGTGAAAATGAGATAATGACCTCCTCTGAATCTTAAAGTTTTTAATTCAAGTGCCTAGTGTGGGTGAAGGCTGAAGAATCTGTCAGCCCTGGATAAGGAACTTTCACCATCCTCTCCGGTGTGACCCTGCCTTTAAAGGTTTCTGAAGCATTCACACTTGGGAAGAAAAACTTCTGACCTGCTCCGGTCCTTTTCCAAGATCTCAAGAGCACAGAACAATTTGCATATAAATGTAGAGGGTTCTGTAAATCAGGCAAGCCTGCTGGCCCTGCCACCGCAGCAAGGAGTGCCTGAAAACCAACCTGGCTTGGGAAGGGATAAAACAGCTCATAGAGGGAGCAAGAAGCATCCAGCAGAGCTATTTCCACCCTGGAATGAATGAACAGCGTCTGATTTATGGCCGGGATTGCAGAACACACTAAAAAATGAACTAATGGAGCAACTAGCTGATGGAAAAGCAACTAGTATGACATTCTTCATAAACATAAATGGTAAGGATTTCAAAAATCCACCCCTCCCCTCACATACATACTGTGGTGACCTTTATCTTGTGGGCTTTTGAATTGGGGGAGGGAGGGTAAAGGAGGGTAAGAGTAAAGGAAAAGAGGTTCCAGAAAGCAACAGATAAAATTTGAATTTCCTTCTTCTAGCAAAGTTTACAGTATATGATCTTATAGTGACAAATATTCTTTCAACAGAGTGGAGCCTATGAGGGAACCTCAAAGGATGCATCCAGATCTACTCTGCCCAGGGACAGTTGGCCCAACTGCAGCCTGAGTCTGTATTGTCGGATGACGGGAAGGAGGTCTCTACGCACCCCAAGCCCTCTTTCATTCCTTCTGTCTTCTCCCAGAAGTGTCAGCTTTTCAATATTGATTCTTGTGCAGACACCTGAATGCAGGATGTTTTTCCCTTCCCTTTTAGAGAACAGAGAATGTTCCCCCTGTGAGTTCTGACCCCCAGAACCCAGGCCAGCACCTACCTCCTCCATGAGGATGATGAAAGTTGCATTGTGCCCCTGCTCTGCCACCAGGCGCCCATCAGTAGTCACCACGTGGAGGCCCCGAGGGGCTTTTCCAGGACACAGCTGGGCCTTGGCGGTATACTTCTCTCTTAGCCCGTCTGTGCAGTTGTTGGATACAATCCGCCGGTACCTAAGGAGTATTGACAATTGTCAGTAGTGTGGTTTGCCTGGCTTGTACTGTGTGTGTGTACGTGTGTGTTAGAAAGAGTGCAAGAGAGCAAGGCAGACCTTTTGCACAGTACTCCTAAAAACTGAGTCTCAAAGAAGACAGCCATTTAGGAAGCTAAACAAATGCTGAGGAAGCGCTATCCCTCCATCTCAGGAAGAGTAGCTCTTTAAACATTGTTATTGATCCTACCTGGTGAGCCGCAGATCAGACCAGTGTCTAATCCAGCCAAGAAAAATCAATGTCTGACTCACACACAAGACAGGAGGCGGCAGACCCACTGGACTATGCAAGCAAGAAGCACGGGCGCTTCTCCCTGTGGGGGAGAGGCTTGCTTCTAGTTCCCCGAGGCCAAACCCAGCTTCCTCTGTACCAGAAAGCATCTAGAAGGTGAGACTTTTAACTCTGATTAATCAGGAAGCCTCTTTCTGTCTTCCTTCCACTCCCAATATATCATTCTATACCTTAACACCTAACAGTCCTTACTCTGGAGCCCCTGGGATGATTTATAAAATATTTTCTCCCTTTGTTAACATTTCATTTCTTACTCACCACAATTACAGGTTAGAAGCACAAGTTTGAATCTCCTATTCAACCCAGCTGAGGGTTGAATTATCTCACATAAGAAGTGAGCATGAGAAAACCTTCTAAGGCAAGGACATGTTTATGCACAGTAATGTCATGTCACCTCACTTGACCACTGACCCCAGCAATGCGATGTCAAGCCAAGAGCTTGCCCACAGCCCCGACCTGCACTACAGACTTCTTTCCAGGCATATCACTGTCTCTAAGGTTGTGTAATCAACGTTTTGGTAAAATCACATAAAATAAATGTACCACCACTATTGTCATCATCACCACCACATCATTTTTTTCTTTCACCCTGTATGTCAGGAGTAGTTAACCAATTCATCCATGTTGCCTTCTGGTGGTCTTGAAAGCAGAGGAAACCAAATTCTTTATGGGTGATATTGGCCCTCCACGTTACTCCTGCCCACCCCCGCCTCCCACTGCTGAACTATTGGCCATGCTCTCTACCCAGAGATCTCACGAAGACGTTAGGCTAATGTTGTGCATAGTTATTGGCTCAGATGGGATGAGAATATATCCTCTTGTAAATGTACATTATTTTAAATTGCCATGTGTGTGCTGTTGAATACAACTAGCCACTTTCCACCTACGGCTATTGAGCACTTAAAATGTGGTTAGTGTTACATGTTAAAATGACATGCAGTGGCATATTGGGTTAAATAAAGTACATTATTAAAATTAATTTCACTTTTCTATTTTTAATGTGGCTACTGAAAAAAATTAAATTATCCATGTGGCCTATATTACACTTCTTCTGACCAGTTCTAGTCCACATAATCAATCTTTTATAGTCAATTTATCCTTTACTGCTAACCTTTACTCATTCACAAGATATTTAGTTTTTACGTACGATAGATATTTTGGTGGGTAACATATCCTAATATAAACTGGATATCATCTACTCTCCTCCTTTAGCCTCACCTACCCAGCTGGCAGTTTGAAATTAATGCTGTGAACAAATTGAATAATCTTTCATTTCACATAAAATGAATAATTTTTCATTTTACATAAAATGAATAGTTCATCTCCTTGATTTATTTGGTTGGCTATTTGGGATTTTAGTAGATATAAATTAAATCTAAATTTAAAGTAGATTTAAATTACTTAAAATTGGGTCCAACTACACATGTCACATGTTCATATATGTCCTAATGCAATTATCTCCCAGTTATGTCCACGGTATTCTCTGGCTGGAAATTTGGGGGCCTGGCTGATCACTTGTGCCCATTATGTTCCTCTTCCTCAAATTCCATAGCACTTTGGTTCCTGACACCACATCTCTTCACATTCATGGTGCTAGATCTGCAAATGAATGGCTTAAATCCTTAAACCAGATACCTACCATAAAATAACATTAAAAGTGGCTAAATACCAGCTCAGACCCCAGTAATAGTCCCCTAAGCACTAAATATTTAGCTAAAAATTTTGTTTTTCAGAGTATCTCAATCTATTCAACACATCTCTTCTACCGTGTTTTTTGTTTTTCTCCTCTGTAGACTTCAGTTAGGTAGACAATACCTACCACTATTTTACAACCAGGTAAGGTGAAAATATGGAGATGGCGGGTAACTGGCGTGAGATAGCAGAGGATCTATTGAAAGAGATGAGACTGGAGCCCAGAACACCACTGTCCCTGGCTACTCAAAGGGGAGTCCTGGGGCCAGCAATGTCAGACTCCCATGAGTGTTTCTTAGAAACAAAGAACCTCAATGCCACCTAGATCTCCCAAATCAGAAGGTGCATTTGAACAAGATCCCCAGGTGATTCATATACCATTAAAATTTGAAAAGTGCAGTCTTAGACCAGCCATTCCTTTTCCAAACAGCTTCTGGGCCATGGAGCTGGCCAAGGAAAGAGGGCAACAACAAATCTCCAAGGGATTTTTTTCCAAGCATCTGAGTGCATAATTAATAAGGGAACAATGCGAGAATCACACACATAATTTGACAATTACAGAAAGTATACCTTCACTTTTTTATTCTAGGAATTCTTAGGATAGGGCTGTTAAATGTTCATTTTAAGTTTTCAGCATGGGTCTGTGAGAGCTTCAGTTCATCCATCATTAGAGAGCACTGCAATATCTGCACAGCACTTGTGTTACTTTATTTCCCTTAGGCCCAAGAAATAAGGTGGGACATCTCTTTCCAGGAGAGAAGTCCTGATCTAAACAACAGCTATGTTCTGTCAAATGGCAAAAGGTATAGAAATTGGGCAATCAGAACTCTCTCCTGATGTTCCCAAAAAGCTACTCTCAGCTAAAGAACTCCCTAGGTTTCCTCAGAAACCACATAAACAAACTCTATCTACATTCCATCCTGCATCAATAGTGACGGTCCCTTTAGTCTCAACGTAGAGGAACATGAAATTAGGGAGTAGAGTTCCTTCAGGTGTGGTACTTACCCAGTGCTGTTAAAGTAGCTCTGGCCAAGGCTGCAGTCCTTTGATGGGGATGCTGGATTGTACCAGAAAGCGGGGACACACTGGCTCTCTCCATGTCTCTCATAGCCATAGTCACTGTCCAGAAAATGAATATTGCATAGTGGTATAGATGCAAAAGTGTTAACGCACCCAGGTGCACACACAAACAGAAACACATCCCTATATGCCCAGTGAGCGCAAATATTCAGACTTAGAGAAGGGATTTTTTGAGATTTAGAAACAATCCTCTTTCATATGGAGTCCAGTGTATAGAAAAAAAAAACAAAACAAAACAGTGGATTATCAAATGGAGGTTCTAGATTCAAAAAGTTTGGATATACTTAGTGCATAACATGGCTGGGACATTGGCTTAGGGTGGCTGTGAAAGATGCTATAAGCTTAAAAATATGCTTTCGATCACAGTGGAATTGCTGAAATAATTAGTTAACAACCAAGAAGCTGGCTTTAAAGGTCAAGATTCATTTCTATGTTAAGATTCCACATGCGTTCTTCCAAAATTGATTTCATAGATTTTATTTTCATTTTCCCTGCTAAATACTTCTCAAACATTTCACATATAGCTATTTGCATTCACACATAGCCATTTAAATTTTTCCCAATTACATATAACATAGGTTCCCTCTTGTCCTAGACAACAACAACAACAAAATAAAGAAACAAAACAAAAATAGAAAACTAAAAGCGCCCCTAAAATGTAGTTCTTTTCCATGTTTTCATAAAACTCTAGCCATGACAAAACTAAGGAAGAAGTCAGGTATGACCCCCTTCTCCTGTCCTCCCATTCTACAATAAGGAAGTAACAAAGCTGTGTAGGAAAGAAGGGGCCCATCTGAAATCTTAAGGATACTTCCTAACTTCTTAGAGTTTCATAGGATCCCAGTTAAGTATTTGTCAGGGTATAAAAAGAGCAATAAATTATTATCGCTTTTGTCACCAATCAGAGGTCATTGAGGGTGACTTTATCTGGCAGGAGAATTCATGCTTCTTAGTCAAGCATCCAAAGGTTTCCTGAAACCTGCAGGCTGGTCAGAACAATCTGGACATTTGATCCACTGAGTGTTAATAAAACATAAACAGCAAGGGGAATCATTCTCTCTGGACCCACTCTTCCTTTCTTTTTCTGCTCCCATATTCTTTGAGCCAAGATTTAATTAAAGTCCAATGAAATTAGAGGCCAATTTTCTATGTGTATAACTAGGAGAGGAATGAAAGGGGGTTAGGAATAAAAGTTTAATTCCGCATTTCTTTATCACTCGATATGTGCCCTGTCCTGTGGAAGAAGCAGGATAATCCCTATCCTTAAGGGGTTTTTAGTCTTTTGAAGAGAGGGATACAACATCCCTCTAGTCCAACAAAAGAACAGAATAATATAGTATGAAGCGGAACACAGTGTAATACAGCATGAAGCAGTATAGTTAAGAAGTACCAACTGGTTAATGAGATTATGTAAATTATCTCCCCAGTTTGACTCTATCCTTCCTCCACACCAAACTCCACCTGAGCACTCTGGCCAACTTTTCATCCCTCTTTGTCTTTGTTACATATTATGCCCTGGGTTTGGAGCACTCTACCCTTTTCTGTGATTGGCAGTTTCTTACATATCCTTCTCCTACATCTAGGTCAGATGAGACCATCCATGACTCCCAGACAAAATTTTCATGGCCATAGCATGTTAGCAGCATTGAGGCTATAAAGAATCAGAGACCTCTGGTGGTTTTGTTTGCCAATATGAATCTAGACCAGAACATAAGACATTGAACAAATATTTACTGGGTGAATGGATACTCCAATTATATTTAAAAATGAGCATACTAAATTATGCCACAGCATTTGGTCTGTCTGTGCAGGCAGCCCGGGAGACCCTGGCTGAGCTTCCAGTGTGGACCATGGAGAGTATCCCAAGTGCTCGACAGATGCCTGTGGAGCAAGTGTGAACTAGTCCTTTCAAATTGCTATGTGGAAAGATGGAACTCAAGAACAGCTTTGATAGGACCATGTTTAAATGCAACTGAAAGGAAATTAGAAAGGGACCTGTCTCCCAGGTAAATCTTTGGGCATGCCTCCGATCAAGGATTGGAGATCTCCCGGCCTGAGAGTTGACAGGAACTCTGTTGCACCAGCTTATAGAAAGTACTGAGAGCCAGCTTAAAATTTCAGGAACTTTGCAAGCTATTCAATGGCTAGTAAATAAAGTCATTATCAAAACTTAAATCATATAAAATTTCTATTAAGTAAATTACATTTGAAAGGTAATATTCAAAACACAGGTCCTGTGTTTTGAATGGTTCTGTATTCAAAACACAGAATTCTTCATTATATTGCTGCATGTTATTATTATATAATATATAGCACATAAAATGTTATTATATATATTTTCTATTATTTATGCTCTTGAGGATATTCACACCTAAGTACCTGTATACAATAAATAATACTATATAATGCTGTACTATTACATATCTCTTCCCAATTCTAAATTCATTGATGTCACGCCGGTAGCTTGAAATTGACCATGGCAGGAATATTTATAACAATCAGCAAATGCTATTAATCAGGGCTTATTTATTTGTTTGTTCCCGGAAAGCTGGTAGTTAAATATTTACCAGCGCACTACTGAATGTCCGATTTCTAAGCATTGTTTATCCGTAGAAATATTTAGATTGTGGTGTGTCTACATCACTTCTGGAAAATTCCTCAATTGTTTTTTATAAGATAAATTTGTGGAATGTCTTGCTAACCTTAAGAAATTCAGTAATTTTTGAAGGAAGGGTGTACTCTTCTAAGCAGCTTTGGGGCCTGGGTGGGGCGGGGGGTGGGGAGAGGGACAGAAATGACTTAATGATCTTTGCTGAATGTAACCATTTTTAGCAGTTCTACGCAGTTCTACTCAGCAGTTCTAACAGGTAGGCAGCTCTGCTACCTGTTAGCTACATATTAATTAAAAAGGGGGCATCAGGCATGTTGCTTTGCCCCAAAGAGAAAAAGCAGCCCATTAATATTTAATAACATTAACGGAAACATCACTGGCTGCCCCCAAGCTGTGGATTTCTTCATTAACTTCTGCTAAATGTATATTAAAATCTCTCATGCTGTCCAACCTTCCTCCCAGCTCTGCGGTTCTCATGATTTAGACAAACAAGCAGTTTCAGCTGCTGCTCCAACTTGCTGGGAAAAGGTGTTCTTCTGTTGAACTGTGAAGTTTGGAGCGAATGTACCAGAAAGTTTGATTTGCCTCAGGGAAGTGTGTTGCCACAGGTTCTGCAAACAGATAAGCAGTTTCTCTCAAGAAATATCAGCTCTGTGTCTTTCTGTAGAGGGTTTAAAGTTTAGGGGGAAAGACATCCATTTCTAGGAACCTATATGTCCAAATCCTGTCCAGAGATCCAGGGAGAAGTCTTAGACAATGTAAAGAAGAAATGGCATCTTCAGAAACCAAAAGGTGTCTGCACATGAGAACAGGAAGGGGCACTTGTATTCTTTGGGTTCAACCCGCTCAGCTGGTAGGTTAGACAGGAGAAGCAAAAATAGGAGAAATGACTTGTTAAAGATTGTACATAACTGACAATGGCAGATGGAGGCGATAACCAAGATCCTTGACCCCTGGTTCAGCCTGAGAACAATCCCAAGGGGCACCCATTGAATCCCCAGCAATGACACTCAGAGACTCTTGGAGCCAGCCAAGAATTCATCCGCTGGCCCAGCTTCAGCGGCTCTGCTCTTCTCAGAACGTGCCAAGCCCCATCACAGCCTCCCTACCCCCCAGGCTCTCCGTTCTCCCATTTGGCAGTTTAGATTCCAAGATCAGTGTTCCACAGGCGCTTCTGTCCTATTTCGGGGGACGGCATAGCATGCTGGGCTTGGGATCAAGCAGAGGGAGGTTTCTTGAGGAGGCACAGAGTGAACAGTGAACAAACAGAAGCAACCACAACAAAAACAATGGAACAATAACATCATCACCATTTAGCTAAGGCAAAAGCCTCAATACAGCCACAAAGATAATTACATCCAAATCATTTCAGAAACTGAAAAAAAGAACAATTGTGCCTCACATATTTCTCCTAATCCAACCTCATGTTACCTATCTGCCCTTATTCCTCTAGTCATCCAGAATAGTCTCACATATCTGCTTTCCCTGAAGTGCTGCCCGTTTTCCTTGTACTTGCTCAGCAGCAAGTTTACACAGCTCCATCACCACATCCTGCAGGAAGCCTTTCATCATTATTCCAGTCCTTGGTGATCCCTTTGTTCTGACCTTTTCTAAGCACTTACAGGTAGGATCAATAGTGTCCCACAGAACTTTCAGCAATAATGGAAGTGCTTTATATCTATGCTATGCAATATGGTAGCCACTAGCCTCATGCCACAATTGAGCACTTGAAATATGGCTAGTGCAAGTAAGGACTAAATGTTTATTCTGATTTAATTTTAATGCAAATAACTACATGTGACCTGTGGCTACTTTATTGGATAACACATATCTGGGTCATGAAATCCAGCATCTATGTGTACTCTTTATTATTTGCTATTATACCTTCTTGGAGTTAAGTAACTCTGGTTTATACATCTTTGACTTTTCCATAATGCTTAGTCTGTAAAAAATATGCTTGATTGTGCTCCATATGCAGAACTGTAAGGCTGAATGGACTTCAGATGTGTCTGAATGTATATGCTGTAGTACCCCAAATCTCTTCTGCTCTATCTTCTGTATTAGCACTTGATAAACTAGCTCTGAGCATCTGGAACCTACTGAACATGGAGGATGCTAAGACATAGTAAGACTTAGGACTCTGGAATCATAACATTATTATTTTGAGTGTTTTATTTAACCTCTCTGTGCCCCCATTTCTTTGTCTATAAAATGTCTGTAATCACAGACTCTTGTTCTGGCAGTTGGTTGAGAAGATTAACATAATCCACCAAAAGAACTTGGTACATAGTAGGTTCTCAGCAAGAGTTATTGCTGCTTAAATGGTTGGTTGAGTGACTAAGAAAAGTGGCCTTCTAGGTGGAACCTCTGGTCCAACCTGGTTTCTCACCAAACAAGAGTACCTGGGCCTCACAGAGTACCTAGGGGCCCTGGTACAACTTCACAGCCGGCCCTTTATGTTACCTTTTCTGACTACATACTGGTCTCTGACAAACTTCTTACTTCAGGAGGATCTGTTCTCGGCTGCTCACCAGTGCCATGGTGAAGGTTGCTGCAAAGTGGCTCTCTAGGGCAAGCATGAGGCTGGGGGATTTACAAGGCTACTGAGCAAAAACATTATCATTCATGCAAAATTCATGCAAGAATAATACCTGCTACAGATGGAGCATGAAAGTCAATGGTAGTCCACAAATAAACACTTCTGAAAAATCTACAAAACCTTCTTTCCTCAGGCAGAGGAGAGATACAGGCGGATAATACCCTGCCTTTTTGCATCCAGGCTGGACTCCTTAACTTTTTCACCAAAACCAAGATGTTTGATCATGCCGCCCAGCCTCCACCCCGAGGCGTCATCTGATTAAATTAGGTTACACCCTCTACCTGCTGTCTCTGAGACCTAAAAGAATCCTTGACCAATTGAATATCTATGACCCAATTTGGCTTAGGGAAACAACTAGGTGGAATATGCAAGAATATTGCTTTTACTAACTGAGCTGAGAGTTTCAGATTCCTTAGCTAATAACACTTCCTGGTAGGAAGGACCATTGAGAAAGATACAAGACTATGAAACTTGCTACATACTGCTTTCCAGCAAGAACATTAAAGACTAACAGGTGAAGTGTTTTTGATGAAAAAACTATTTTTAACTGATAGCTATGATTAGTGAAGTTGACTTCAAAACAAAAAGACAATTTTAAACACTCAGGTTCACTGTCCACAAAAAAATCACTATAAAACCCAGTAATTTTAGAAATCAAACCATCTACTCTTCACTCAGAAAAGTACTCTTCACTCAAAAGTACTATTTACACCATGTGATTTTTTTTTTTGCTGTTGTTCTCTGATTATGACCAGTAACCTAGCATCCAGCCTTGTGTGTCTGTTTCTCCTACCTCACACTTAAATGTTCCTTCCATCTCCTTTTTAATATGAGGTATGATTGGCTATACAAAGACAAATGTACAATACCTTCTATATCTCCCCAAATTCAAAGTATTCTTGAATACCATACACCTATTAAAATTCCAGTACCAATGAGCAAGTCTACTTCATTCATAACTGTTTTAGAGTTAATGGAACATTCTATGTTAAACCTCACCAACAACAGTTAACCTAGGTCATTTGAAGTTGAGTGTTAAATTTAGAATAACTTAACTTGGGGGCCCTATTCATTCTGAAACATAGAGTAAATCTAAAATAATAAAGACTTTGTTTGACTTCCTGAGAAATGGCATGATATAGAGGAGAGAGCATGGGATTTAGCTCGATTTGCATTTGAACCCAGCTATTTCTCTCCTACTTATATGACCTTGGTCAAGTAACTTACATTCCAGATGCTCGTTTTCTTCTCATTAAAATGTTGTAGCAATGATGCTGACATTACAAGTCGTTGGGTCCAGATGGCCTCTGCAATGCAAGTGTGAGCCGCAGAACACCTTGTAAGGACACCCCCCGACCCCCTGCTACTTTACTTATAGTTGCATTCTGAAAGCAGTTCCAAAGAAGGACTTAGAAATATTTTAAGCAATGCCACCAATATTGGAATAAATGGATAACACCCGAAGGTACAACTATAAAGATGGTGCTTATTTGAATGTATAAGCTCTGGTTTACTTGCTAAAAATACCACGGGGACCACTTAACCCTGGGGTACAAGATTAACAGCAGCAGCGGCAACAGCTACCATATGGATACCTACACCACTAGGATAAATGCCTTATACATTAATGATATATATTAATTCATTTATTCCTCCCTAGGACCCAATGAGATCTGTGTTATATATTTATATTTTACAGCTGAGAAGGTGAAATCAAAGATATTAAGAAAATTTTTCCCCCAAGGTCAAAAACGGTGAATATCAGAGCTGTGATTTTTTTTTTCAGAATAGTAAATGTTCATGCAATTGCTGAAAAAAATATTTATGTTACAATTCTTTCTTTCTCAACTGCGAGTTTTCCCAACAATGGGTTAGGGACCATTGCAACTCAGAGAGACACAGGAGAAAATGCAGAGTGACATATGCAAAGAGAGTGAGCTCCATGGAGTCAGTCTGCAGAAGGACAAAAAGAACCCTGACCCTCACATTCTGAATATTTAGGTTGACATCAAAATGTCATGTACAATAATTCTGAGTGACCTACTGTATACATTGCTATGAGTTTTTGGCTGAATTGTGGTTAATAATTGAAAATTATTCTCCCCAAGTGTGAAAATGTCTTTTGTTTCCAAAGGGTCAAAATTGCCAGACAGAACCCTGATATTCAAATTTAAATTCCATAGCACAACCCATTTGGCCAATTCTCACTGAAGCCAAGCTCTCTAAGGCATGAGTTCAGGGATGAGGAGCAAGTAGGAGGGAGTCAACGTCATCTGGCTGGCTTGCAGTTACCAGTTACCATCCTAGCAGAAAGTGGCTTCAAGCACAAATCAAGTTTAAGAAACAGGATGGATGAAATAGGAGAGAGGCTGCTGGCTGGGCAGGGGCAGCCATTCTGTGCCCATTTGGACTTATTCCTGTTATTTAACAACAGAAAAGCCCCAATGTAATTATCATTGTCTTGCCCCTTCCATGGTTATAGGCTCATACCCAGACCCTTAGCTTTATCTTTTAATCTGGAATGGCTTATTAAAATGTCTAAAGTAAACATCAGCTTTAGACTGTGATGTGAAGGAAGAATTCATTCAGCTGGGATCAGAATGATATGTGCCCCTTCCCAGAACTGGGAATATTTTTGAGTCTCCTAAAAGGAACAACATTCAGAAACATGGTACAACCATGTAGTGCTTACTATCACCTAGTCTCTGAGGGTGCAACAATGAAGAAAACTAAAGCTCCTGCCCTCACAGTACTTATGTTTCCCTGGGGAAGGTAGGCAATAGTAAAGCCATCAGAAACACGATCATTCCACACGGTGATTAATACTACGAAGAAAATACAGCCTGATGGTCTCTAGAGCACCCGGGTGCAGGTCAGATCAGGTGGTCTCGAAAGGCACTTCTGAGGAAATGGTATTTTTACTGAGACATGAGTGATCTAAACATACTGAAATTTGGAAGAAATCCTCACACATACTATTTCCTCTGCTAGGAATAAGCCTGGATTAATTAAGGTACAGGATATGGTAGTGTGGCTGCACCACGGTGAACAAGGGAAGAATAGTAAGAAATTAAGGCACAATGGTAACAGTGGACCAAATCACCTACCATGAAGCAAGCCAAGAAAAAAAGATTAGATTATATTTTAAGGGTACAGGGATGCCTTTGGAGTGTTCTCAGGACAGGAGTGATAATATCTGGTTTTGGCTTTTAAAATATGATTACGGTTGCTCCGAGGAGGACAGGTTTTATGATGCAAGTGTGAAAATAGAGAAGGAATTTGTAAACTGTTGGAAAGATCCAGACAGCAGTAGACATGGGCAAAGGTGCTTTGAGTTAGAATGGATTTTCGAGGTAGAGACTTGCAAGGACTTGCAGATGACTTGGGTGAGAAAAAGGGAAAAAATTAAGCTCGCCCTGGGATTTTTTTACTTAAGTAAATAAATGGATGTCTGTGTGTTTTATTGAGGCTGGAAAAAGTTGGATGTTGTAGGGATGCAAGATGAATTGAAAAACTGGTTCCAACAGTGAAGGTTCAGCAAGAGCTCTGCTTTGGCCACATGAAGTTCCATTCAAGAGGGAAAGCTGTGGAGCAGATACATGAACACAGATGTTTCATGCTAGAGGAGAAGGAGGCCAGGGCTAAAGGGACATATTGGGAAATTTGTGAGTTATTGGCTAATAAGTGAGATTTCGCATTGTGCTTTGTAGTTGTCACTGGAGGGAGGAATAAAAATGATGATGAGGGTCCAAGTGGAAGAGCGCAATTTGAGCAAACTTGTCTGGAGGTTACTCCTCAAGGAAACTGCTCTCTGATCTCTGTCAGTGCCTAGCATGGTCTCTCTGGTATTTGCCAAGCTCCTAAGTGAAGATAAGAATCCCCCTTGGACATAATGCTCTCATAGAATGGTAATCTTCCTTGTGAAAAGGTCTCTTTCTCTCCCTCTTACAGGTGCAGACTTCTTATCTGGCCCAGGAACTGGGGTAGTCAGGCCCACAGACCAGTAGTTCCTCCCCTAACTCATCTTCATTCTCACCCCCCTAAACAGGTAACATGTCTGGTTGAAACTGGCATTGAGAGGCCAAGGGACTCACCACTCAAAGTCCGAGTCAGCACAGACACAGGGTTCTGAGACCACCGTCCCTGAGGAGTCTCGGCTCAGGGCACACTGAGCTCCTGGCTTGCGTTTCTTGAATATTTTCCTTTCTCCCATGACACAAGGTTCCCCCTTAGAAAGAAAGTCCATAGTGAGAGAGGCAGAAACACACAAAGAAGGTGAAGCCAACCAGCTTCTCAACAAGAGGAATTAGGCTTTTCATTCTCTTTTGGTTGCCTTGTAGCAATATCCTTCCCAGTAACCATTTGGGTGTTTAAAGGATAAAAGGGCTGCTCTTTTACTACCATACCAAAGGAACACTATGCAAGGCTGGCCTATCACACTGTTCACCCCCGCCACACCTCTTGGCCAATGATGTCTACTTCATCCTGTTTCTTCTCCACCTCCATAGGGAACGCAAAGACTCCAGTCACCCTCACAGGCCACCAGGCAACTGCCCAAATGGCTTCATCTGGAATTCTAGTGGAAAGGATTCCACTTCTGGCATATTTTTTCATCATCTTCAGAGTAAAACTGAAGTTGACCTGAAGCTCCTTCTCTATGATTAATAACCATGCCCAAGTCTTTATTCCTAGTCAAGGGCAAAAAGAACAGGAGAAGTTGGTACAAGTTACAAGGACCCGATGGTTCTAAAGAATACAGAAGCCTGACTATGTTGTGTATCAATAAATAACTGCTATTGGTAGAGGCCGTCACCCCCACCCCTCACCCTTTCTTAGTTCCCTGTTCCCAATGCTCTTGGGCCCTTACTCCAGGTTGGTCACAGAAATGCTTTCATCCTCCCCAGGAGAAGGTGAAATGATTGAACCACTGGAAGGTCAGCCTCCTAGCTAACTGGGCTTATTTCTCCATGGAGAGAGCTAAAACCCCAGATTACCCACCCTAAACCCCTTCTTCTCAGTGACTTCAATGAGTAGATCAGGATCCCATGGTGCAAAACAGTCCCAAATACCATCTAACCCTACTGCACCTGGGTGTGTGGGCTTCAACCCTCCCCTCAAATCCAGTGTTATCCTCAAAGGACCCACTACTTTCCTCCTCCAAATAGGAAGGGCCAGATGTGACCAACAGGACTTTCAATAGCTCCTCTTCCTAGAAGCCAGCATGGCCCCCTCCACCCAACCCTCTGTGTGGTGTACCTGATTAAGTAGGTGCCAGGTCTGATAGTCTTCTTTGGTGCAGCGTCGGCTGAAGATAGATTTGTAGTCCACTTTCACCAACTGCCATTCAGAGCGGAGACTGAAGTGGCCAAAGACGCTGTGTTTAAGGGAGGAATGGAAAAGACAACAGAGAAAACCTCATAGTCAGTCACTAATGCACAAACACTGTGGGGATAGAGGACTGAATTGCAGCCTGGACTTTACTGGTTCTCTCAAAGTGTGTTTTCTGAAGGCCACTGAGTAGAAAGTCCACTGTATATGTAACACCAACCAAACGCATGTCATTCACAGTGGGTTTAAATACCAACCTTTTTTAAATTGCAAAAGCAATGTATGTGCTTTACAGGAAAGATTTAAAATTTGGAAAAGTATGGAGAAGGAAAAATTCACCCAATAGTCCAAAATTCTCCACTCAGATAGAGTGGAGAGGAGTGTCCATCCTTAATTCTAAACAATGGTATTTTCTTTACTCATGTCCACTGATGAGGACTCAGTTTCCTTACCTGTAAAGTAGATTGTATCTATGTATGTTGGGGAGGGAGGTGGGTTAGCTAATTAAAAGTATGACCATGCCAATTCCAAAATTTTGACTGAATAGAAATGAGTTTATTTAAATTCCCATTGTTTAATTCCTGTAAATACCACCTTCCTCACCACTTCACTAAAAAATCCAGGAGTCTCATAAAAGAAACTCATGTTTATGTATGGTATAGATGCAGGCCACGTGTGTGACTTAGATAATCCACACTGACCTTTTCAAAGCCCAGCAGTTGATAGCCCTATAAATATGAATAATCGATCATTTCTATAAAAATAGATTGATCATCCATACTACACTTGGGTGGCATGTCTTGTAATAACAATGCAAGACATCTATCACAGTGATGTAAAGGGGAGACCAATCATGCCGGGAACTTAAATCAACTGAAGTCTTTCAAGGAATTGGATGGCTTCCATTTCATCAAGACTTAATCATGCTCCCAGCCCTAGATTTTTCTCTCTTCAAGTTCAGGTACTCTTATAGTGCCATCAAGAGACCAACTCTCCTCAGGGGACATTTCCTTTTGCTATCTGAAACATGAGGTTGCTTTTGGAAGGGTGGGAGCTGGTTAAGATTGTAAAATAGGGAAAGAAATTGGATTTTTCTATAGATCTTACAACTTAAAATACACCTCAAGAAGTGACTTTTAATGTTCGAATGGTTCAACATTAAATAAAACTCGTTAGAGCTTTGTCTAAAAGAAGATTAAACAAACTTCTGAGGAGGAGACTGAGGGTCCCTACTTTTGTAAAACTGTCCAGTCTCTGTTGTCAGTCTTAGCTGAGCACTGGGTAGTAGAGACTGTGGATCTGAATATCCTGGATCATATGACCAACACTGGGTGGAGCAGAGCAAACTTACAAGTATCCTCTCTGGTTCTCCCTATGCTCTGCATTCTCTCTCTGTCCAGTGCTCTTCTTATCCAATATATCCATACCAGGTCACAACTAAGGTATTTCCACCTTTTAGTTCTAATTCGTTTCATGGAGAGGTAATGAGTCAGTCCATTTTACATCTTAAACAAAGCAGTTTACTCATCAAAAAGTTCTATCTGTTTGAAGACAGGAGAGTTAAGCTGAAAGCTCACCAGGAAAAAAGTAACAGTGGGAGGAAGCTTTGATGAGTATCTCTTCCCTCTCTATCCAGTCTATCCAAATCCTGCTACATTCAAATGCCACCTCCCCTAGCAAGTCTTCCCTGATTGGAGTACTCTGAGTAGCAGGATATTAGTGATGCTAAACCAAGCATTCTGCCTACTCCAAATAGTTTACAGTTATTTCATGGATCATAAAATATATCATGTCAGATTAATCCCATCCCTTTCTATGAAAAGATTACTAGGCAGACAGGAGAGGGAAATAGGAGACACATGATTTACCTATCAGCCAGGCATCTGACATGGTCTGCCACAGCAGTCTTGAAAAAAAGGTGAAAAAATATGAGCCAGGCACTAGTAAAATTATGTGGTTGAACAGTACCTAATTAAGGCATTAAAATCAGCCACAAGGGAGGGTGTGAGTAGTCAGCTGCAAGGTTCTGCTGTCTGTTCTTTCTTGTTCATCATTTTTATTAATGACTCAAAGACATGAAAATAATGGTCATCATTGAAAATCACATTTTCTGATGACACAAAGCTGGAAGAAACAGTCAATATACTTGATGGCAGAATCAGGACCCAAGAAGGACTTGACAAAATGAGAGACAAGTTTAATTTAATAGCATGTGACACAGCAGGAAGAAATGTCAGCCCCTCCTCTTGGCAACTACATAAATATTAGGTAGAAGAAACAGGGCTTGGTGAAACATTGATTAAATAATAATAATAAATAATAATAATAAATAATAGCAGCTTAAGAGTTTTAATACACAACGTGATTAATACAAGTATATACTTAAGAGAGACAAACATAATTAAGGTGATATCAGAATACACTAATATAGAATTATGTATCAATATATTACCTAGAACAAAAGAGGAAAATCCATGGTCTACTCTATACTAGATCACAAGGAAAAACAATAGTTAATTCTGGATGTCATCATTCAATAATGATACAGACTAAGTATCTTAATGTACAGTACGTGCATGAGCTTTGATGGTGATAGTGGAGTCTGAATCTCCTGAAATTTTAAGTAAAAATATGCATTTATTGGCATTAGTATTTATCTATGGAGAAACTACATATATTTTATCAGATTTTCAATGGTTCAAAGTTCCCAAAGTTTATGAACCATTGAAAAAAGAGTGATTATGTACTGAAATGAATAATGGCTTTCCAAAGAAATATGACCTGTAATCTATGAATGAGAACTTATTTAGAAAAAGGTCTTTGATTTGTAAGCTAAGGATCTCTAGGTGAATTTATCCTGGATTATCAAGGTGAGCCCAAAGTCCAGTGTGACCCAGCACCCCTCTTCTTGGTATCTACCCCCAAAACTTTTAAACATGCATTTGTGAAGGTGTATGTACCTGTATGTTCATTGCGGCATTATTCCTTGTAGCTAAGACCTGGAAACAAAGAGTCCCTCAATAGATAATTGGATGAAGATGCGGTCCATATATATACAATAAAATACTACTCAGCCATAAGGAAAGATGAAATACTGTCATTTGCAACAATGTAGGTGGATCTTGAAAATATCATGCTAAGCAAAATAAGTCAGGTGGAAAAGAAGTCAAGAACCGCATGATTTCATTCATATGCAGGATACAAAACTGAAAGCAATAAATGAAAAAACAAACAAACAGACTTCATAGATAGAGACAACAGCATGGTGGTTACCATTAGGAAAGGGTGGGTGCTGTGGAGGGGGTAGTAAAGACTAAAGGGGAACAAATACATAGTGATGAAAGGAGAATTGACTTTGGGTGGTAAACACACAATACAATATACAGGTAATGGATCATAGAACTGTACACTTGAAACCTGCATAACTTTATTAACCAACGTCACCTCAACACATTTAATTAAAAATAATTAAAAAAAAAGAAAAAGAAAAAAAAAAACATGCAGAGAGGGGAAGGCCATGTAAAGACCGAGGCAAAGACTGGATTTCTGGGGTTAGAAGTCAGGGAGCCACCAGAAGGCGGAATGACAGAACAAATCCTCCATAGTACTCTAGCAGGAGTGTGGCCCTGCTACCAGGTTGACCTTGGACTCTGGCCTTCAGAACTGTGAGAGAATACATTTCCGTTCTTTTATCCAACCAATTTGTGGTAATTTATTGCAGCAGCCACAGGAAATTAATACAGATGACTATGTGATTCAAGACCACTTTTCATCTCTCTGTTGAAGAAGTAGTATGAAAATTATGGCTGACTTACCTGGAGATGACTTAGGAAGGGGCAGGAGAGAGAAGATAAATAAGTGATCATTCTAGGCAGATCTCTCGATTATTAAAAAATAACTAAAAAAAAGTGTGATTTTAAAAAGTGTGAGAGATCTTTCTAATAAACAGAGTTGCCCATAAAGGAAAAGAATGCTCAAGGATTAGTAAGCATAGAACTTCCAGCTCAGGCTCAACCCTCTCCCAGAGCTCTTGTTGCAGAGGATACAAGCATCATTCAGGTGCATGGCCTGGTTGACCCTGCATCTCTAAGAATGTTCGTGTTGTTTTTTCCCAGCTCTTTGGAATATCTATTTAGGATCTCAGAGTGCTCATTTCAGGACTGAACACAAAAATAGGTCCCCAGTCAGGACTTGTGGGCTAATTCAGATTTTTCTCTTCTGCAATCTGGCAGATGCATTCCTTTCATCTATATTTCTTTGGCTTCTAGCCCAGGTTTTCTTAGACTGTGTGTCCCAGGTCTTTCCCCAGGCTGTATATTGTTATACTAATATTTTCACTTAGGAGTGTGCTAGTTTTCTCTCCCAAGTGGTTTCTTACCTATGCCAGATGCAAAATTTTAAATATTTAATGTTAGGACTATGAGTTTTGCTCATTTTCTCATTGGACTCCAACTAAGACCAGCGAGGTAAAAACCCTTAGGAACTTTCAGAAATTAATGTACTCCTCCTCTCTCTATCCAGGATCAGCTCTGGGAGAAAAAAAGTTTATTGTGGGACCCCTGCTGTGGGGCACATGTGACTCTGACACAGGGCCTATCTTCTGCATAGATCTGGCTTCCCTAATTCTGCTCAATACTGTAGCCACTCATTGCTCTTCTGATTAGAGCCCATGGAAGCTGAAAAAAAATGACAGAAACACAACAACCTAAGAAGGAGACAAAATAAGAACTAATTTAAATTCCAGCATTTCTCCTTCCTTTTCCTAACTACCCTTAGGATAGATGTTGAAAATCATGATGGGGTCTGTGAAAGTGAGCACTCAGCCGAGAAATTAGGGTGACCATCATCATAGACCATCCCCGTCCTAAGTGACAAGGTCCACTTAGTTCTGGATTGGGAAAAGAGAAAACCCAGATATTTTCTAATTAGTAATAGAAAATAAAATTTCCATATGAAAGTTATTCATCTTATGAAAATATTCCTCTTAAGTTAGTAAGCTCATCACCAATAAAGTAGGTGCAGGGTACTCATCCCGCTTGTGGTATT